TGACTACATCAGGCAACTGTATCCCTCACGCACTCGCGTGCCTGGACTCTTTGTCAGAGGAGGGCAAGAGCAAATTGGATGCCACCACAGAGCAGATGAATGTGTACATGGAGCAGCGGGGCTGTCGCACCTACCAGCAATGCTCGGCGGCCTTTGGGTGTCTTCTGCATCCGGTTGTGTTCATCGACGCCTTGCCGGTCGGAAAATTTCTTCTGCATGCTGAGAACGATGGCAGTCCGCATTGTGTGGCAGTGCATAGGCGTGAGGTCCGAGGAGCCTTCGAAGTGACCGTGTGGGACACTGACTGCGCACTTCATTTGTCAGACTCTGCTTTCCGGCGATGCCTTTCCGATGGAGTGGATAGCAAGACCTGCGTCTTTTATTTGCTGGAGCAGCCTGCGGACGGTCTTTTCTTGGCCGTTTCTGAAGCAGAAGTCTCTCAGCTCCTGGACATGGCTGCGGGCGCCGTGGGAGAAGTGGATTTTTCGATGGATGTCGACCGGATGGGGTTGGGGCAAGATGCTGGCGAGGAGACGGGCGTTGATTGGCTGGATGCTGACGGTGTGGTGACGGTGGACGCGGTGCTTTTGCAAGAATTGCGCCAAGAGGTGCTGACATGCATCGCCCGGGCAGGGCGCGGGTCCCTGAAATGCGTGGGCGGAATGTACCGCTGCCCGGCTTGCCCCTTTCGAGCTTTCCGCGATTGCTCGCGCGTGGCTCAGCACCTCCGACGCTACCACACCGAGAAGCAGCGGTTCTGCTGTTCTGGAACAAAGCAGTTGCGGGTGCTGCTCTCCATCCACGACACGGACATGCTGGCTGAGAGCCGTGGTGGCCGGTACCTGGAAAGAAGCGCGAAGGTGATCCGCGAGCTTGTGAAGCCTGGGCTTCCCATCAAGAACAACAACATTGATCGAGGCTTCCGATTGGTGCTCGATGCCGGAGGCCCGACACTCATGAACGTGGCCGTCCTAGCCAAGGGCACTATCGCTCGCAGGGTCGGCAAGATCTGGTACACCCGCGCCTTCGCAGAGCGCCTCTTCCAGGAGATCTTGCTGCAGCACGCCAAGGCTGGACCGGAGTAGCAACTAGATCGATGTTAATTTCGCACGAACTATATCCCACGCATCCCTGAGGTGAAGACAGTCTGGCCACGTCTCATGCTTGATTCAGTCAGCGCTGGTAACGTGCTGACCAACTTGCTGCCCGGCCACACTGCGACTTGGTGGCCGTTGGTGGAAGATATCCTCCGATCGCCTGCGTGTGTCGCCTTGAAGCAGAACCTTCTTAGCACTGCGAATAAGCACGGCGAGTATGAGTATTTATCTATAGATGGCACATTCCGAGCTTGCATGATGCTGATGGGCCAAGCTTCCTTCAACGCACCAGCCGCTGAACGAGCAGCGCAGCCATTCACAGACGAAGATAGCTTCCGGCGTGTCATCACTATCCGGGGCAGGAGCGGGGCAGTGCTGGGCTTGGCGCCTGCCATCGGAGAACGCGCAGAGCATATTGTTTCGTGTGTCGTGGATGCTCTTCCAGCAGAAGCCCTGCAGCGTGTCAAGTATGTGGCGTCCGACTGCCCCTCTGCGAAGCTGATGGGGCAGCTCCAAGCAGTTCTACCAAATCTTCAGGCGCTGGTGCTTGATGGAACGCACGCCGCCATGCACTACGAGCAAGCTACCAACGGCCGGAAGACAGCTGGGTCAGCACTTCTGCGGAAATTCTTGGCCAAGTTCTGCCCGAGGGACAACGCGCTGGCTGTTAACATTTGGGGGGCGCCCTACGACGGCTCGCTGCCGGCGCGGCTAAGTGCCCCGGAGAACGCCCTACGGGAGCACATCATCAAGGGCACGCTGGGGCTGCGGCGGGCTCGGCACGTCTTGGCCTCGGTGGACGGGCTGTCTGCCTGGCCTACACGGATTCAGTTCATCGAGGCCGTGGCTGCTCTGGCGCGGGAGCACTCCAAGGACCTGGAGCGCAAGATCGAAGGTACCCGGGAGACGGTGGGCAAAATTCTCTATCACCTCACGGCCGCTGATCGGCTCGAGTGGCTCTTCAACAACTTGCGGCTCCGGACGTCCATGACGTCGGCTGCGCTAGTGCTGCTTCCGTCTGGCACCACGGGGAATGAGGCCTTGCATGCGGAGCTTAACGCAGCCTTTCGCCAGGTCCAGCAGCTGCATCGTAGCACTCTGCAGCTTAAGCTCAACATCTTGCACTTGGCCAAGCTCTTGCCCCACCACGTTGCTCTACACAGCCCCACCGCCAAGCAAATGCCGGCTGGGCATGTCTTAGCGCGACGGGTGGGGACGCCCTTGTGGACAACGAGGATGTGGTCATCGTGGGTGGCTGAGCAGCACGCAAGCGGGGCGGTAGGGCGTTGTAGTTTGCCCCTGGCTGCTCAGCGGCAGATGGAACAGGAGGCCATTCAAGCTGCCCGAGGTCTAAAGCGACCTGCGGCAGGCATGCGGAAGCGCACTCCATTCACCTTGGAGCGGGCGCCAGGGGCAAGCGCAGCAGGAGTGCGCTTCCGCAGGCCCGCCTCGCACGCGCCAAGCTAAACGGGTCAAGAACTGCACCAAGCACTTGACGGCTATGTTCTTGACGCTGCCAGGACAACACTAAGAACAAGAAGAATTTCTATGCAATTGTCTCTCTTTGGGGCACATGGGAAGTCAGCCTCTGCACGCTTTGTAGGGGAATTGCCTCTTGTCTCTGGCAAATCAAAAGTCAGCTTCTGCACGCTCTGTAGGGGAATTGCCTCTTGTTAAAGCGTTTGCGTAGCTGGCGCTCTCTGGCTTCCTTGTGTGGCTCACAGCTTCACGTCGCACATTTGCACGAGATGTAACAGGTCACGCTGGTAAGATATGTGGGTGGCTGGATATATTTAGCTCACACACAGTTTTGTTCTTGTGATGCCGAGAGATGTTCATGACCTAGCAATGCTGGTGTGGCAATCTTTTCGCAGCCTTCTGCAGCCGCCGATGTGGTTGGGCCATTCAGGCTGCTCAAGCAAAATGTCTGGGAGGATGTTTGTTGTTGGTTGCAGCAACCTTCCCGGCCCAACCATAAATCTTTTTCTGCAGTGTGCGCACCAAATGAGAGCGTGCGGCGGAGCATAAAAAAAGACGCATATGCCCGGGATTGCGTCTATCCTGTGTCTGTGCGCATGTGCCTACGTGCCTTTGTGCCTTTGTGCCTTTGTGTGTGTGTGTTGCACGGTTTGCGTACCGCAACCTTGGCGCAACACACTGCGCCGTATTGTACGCAATCTTCCCAACCACGGGGGGGGGGGTGGCTGGAAGTCTTAGCAGTGAGGGGGGAGGGGGGGGGGGGGTGGCTGGAAGCTGGAAGTCTTAGCAGTGAGGGGAGGGGGGGGGGGGGGGTGGCTGGAAGTCTTAGCAGTGAGGTGACTCAGCCAACTTTGTAAAGACTTCTCAGTACCCCCCCCCCCCCCCCGTAAAGAGTTCTGACCCCCCCCTGCCCTTGTTGCAGGGAAACCGTCAAACCCTTGACATGGTTTATAAACTGTCTTGAAAGTTTATAAACTCTTTGCTGTTGATACTCAACATGACTTGTCACCCACAAACAAATATGCAGCAACAGCACACTTCTTGCGTATATATGCTCACACCCCCTGTCTTTAAAAATAAGAGGGTTTTGTACATTTTGAAGTGGAAAGGTAGGCCCTGGGGGGGGGGGGGTGAGCATATACATATATATATATATATATACATATTATACATATATACATACTGTGGCTCCTGCCACAAACGGCCAGTTTGTCTTCACCTTTTCGCGACATGTCGATGGAAAACTTGCCTGGGCTCCATCTTAGACATGCATCAGGTTGAACAGTCAAGCTCAGACGTGCAAAAGATCGGCACGGAAGTCCCATTGGATAGCAGTGGCTGTATGAAAAGCAAAAGACGCCATAGCCGCCGCCTTCACCAGTGACACAAAAAACCAGCGACTTGAATGTACTCATGATGCAGATCGAGTTTCATGCTCGCGGACTCCGGGCATTGCTCTGATCGGCGATCTTAGGTCGGAGGAGGGCTTTTCAGTTCCTTCAGCCTTCGTACGGAAAACCGCCTCGCCTCCCGGTACCTTTGGGTTTTATTTGAGCTCTGCCTCGCCCAAAACTGGAGCGAAGCCTAGCTGCTTGGTTGCAGGCCCAGCTTTCCGTAGCCGGACCATCAGCCAGCTGGAATTCTCAAGACATGTTCTCGCGAGATTGTTCTGTGGTCCGTTCTTTCGCAACTTGAGAGAACCGGTCAATCATTTAACCGTCTAGAAAGGGAATGACATTGGACACGTTCTCCAAACTCGGACTCATATTTGGGGTTGCTCAGCACATTCTCGCGAGACAAACAATATGGGTGATTGTTTTTTGGGAGTTGCCTCCTTTTGGTTGGGCCGTGTCACTCAGGTGAAAACTCAACGAGTTGGCCTGTGGGTTCGTCTCTCATGTGGGGAACCTCTGGGATGGTCTTAAACAGAACACGGCGCAGAAAGGCACGCGAGTTCCTGGGCGCAACCCTGCTGCAATGTTCTTTTTGCCGGACACCAGCCCAGAAGTTGTATCGTTGCCAAACGTTTTGCCCCGTCCAGACTCTGAGCTGCTCAAATTGCCGACCATCAAACCTGCTCGGATTTCTATGGTTCCCTGACCTGATGTACTTTGGATCAAAGTGCACAGCTTGTTTGTGCCCCGATTGGGGGGTTGCAACAAACGAGGGCCCTTTGTGGTATCCGATCCCCTGAAGGCGGCTTCTGCGGAGCAACCAGGGTTCAAAACAGGAAATCAGTTGGCCATGGGTCAAAACCCCGTACCCCCAGTGAACATCCCAATCCCAACTAAAATGGACTAAAATGGGTGGTGCACCTACCCCAAAATGGTACCATTGGTGTTGACCCACGGCCATTTTGACAACTCAAGCAAACACTTCGTAGGTGCAAATGCAACCACTTGCGCTCACACGGGTGCGATCCGCCTACTGCAGCTCGTGCTGCATGAGCATGGTGAGACACAGCCACAGTGCTCGCCCTCCTCGCAGAACTGGACCCGAAGCACCCAAGGGATATCCTTCATCAAGCGATTCTAAGACTACAGTGGCTACGCCTAAATCACTACCCCCAGAATCCAAAGGATATACAAAGGTTACATAAGTGTTGTACAAGTGTTTGTGGGGGTCGTGGCTTTGGTCTTAAGAGAGATTGTATTTGAGGAGTTCTATGCGATTTTTCTCGAGACAGTGGCTTTGATGCAGCTTTCCCTCGGCAATTCCGGCGTGCAGCATGCACAGGTGCGAGGTTATGTGCAATAGAAGATCCGAGTGGTCATGCTGTGGGCCATGAACCCTGATGATAGTTGCTACTCATAATCTTGCATACATATACTTATGCACTCCATATACATATGCAGGCGGAATTATCTCTCTCTCTCTCTCTCGCGCACGCACACATACGCAACAACCCATGACAGCCCTCACACTACTGTAATCGCAACCATTGGGTAATCCATCTCCTTTTGGCGCCTCGGTCTCATATTCATCCCGCAGCCAGAGGTCTGAATCTTGAATTCCGTATTAATCCACTGTGGGGTTCTCAGGGCCGAAGCAGAATGTCAGTTTGCCTTCGCACTCTTCGGATGACTGCAAAAACTTGATGATATCACCCGTTTTGAGGGAGGGCATCCCCTGCCACGGATACAGGCTAGGACCTCCACAAAACTCCGCTGCTTTTGCACCAATCACGAAGCTCGTTCAGAACGATGGACACGGTGCAGCGGCCAAGTAAGCCCAAATCTGCAGTGCCCAGGCGAAGGGAATGGGCAACATTGTTCAGTGATTTTGGAATAACCGCACAAGGGTGGTGGAACATAGTGTTTGACAAGCAACATTATTACCAATTGCAGCTCAGCCAGCCCCAACCAGCCGTGCCAAAACCGCCCTTTGCAGCTCCTGGCCGACCTCTTCTTTGGAGCCTGCGTCTGCGTGTGTGTGGGAAACGAAACGCCACGCAGGCAAACACGCTGTCACGTTTATGGGTGTATTTTTTACCTAGGGGCCCCTTGGCGGACGTCATGTACATGTAGGGAATTCATGTCCGCCAGTCACTTTTGAGGTGGTTCCCCATTCAATTCATAGCCTTATCGCCGCGGAAGAAAGCAAACATCTTGTTGGGCGCTGCAAACAAAGGACACCCAAAATCAAAAGTCGGCTCATGAGTTAGGCTGCTCGACATCTAAAAGAGCCGTGTAATGCATGACTCCCTCCCATGTGCTGGTGGATACAGCCGTGGCTGGCTGAAATTGGGGTTTTGCGTCGGACACATCTGACAAGCAACCAGACAGTGAATGCGCAGCGTTTCCTGGGCAAGACTGGCGCTATCCGCATGGAAGGGAAAAAAGGCTTATCCGTTTCCAAACGGGCAGCTCAAAATGTTGCAACACAGCCTGTGACTCAAGTGAAATCCGCAACTGCCAAGTTGCGTATCTTGGCCAGCCGACAGAAACTTCCAGTTGCTGACTGGCCTTCTTGCCCTTGTCCATCGCTCTCTCGGATCGACCTGGTCACGGCTTCACTCTACAGTAAGACGAGCCAGGACAAGGTCCGAGTCACGCGCAAGCAGGCAAATGGGAAGACAAGTGGGGAGACACGGGAGAGAGGCCATGACAAGGTCTGAGTGAGCAAGCGCAAGCAAAGAGATACGTGGGAAGAGTGGGGAGAGAAGTCGTGACACCCGAGTCACCATGCCAGGGAGAGTGGGGAGACAAGTGGTGAGGTGAGGTCCGAGTAAGCAAGCACCAGGGAGATGGGGAGACAAGTGGGGAGACAGCAGGGTTGGCGAACCATCTCGCGACTGGGACCCCAGCACATTTACCCCGGATCAATAAACCCTGGTCTCCTGGTTGATCTTGATCGGGGGCGCGGTGTCGCCTCCAAAAGCGATGGTAAACCCACCCCCCGATCAAAACCAACCAGGGGTTCTACTTCGATCCGGGGTTCCCATTCAGCAGCTCTTGTTGAGGGTCAACGGGAAACCACAAAAAATCCAAACCACCAAACCACCGACTGGGCTCCACACCGCCGATTAGAAGGAAGCCCACCTATTCGGTAGGTAGCACCCCATTCGGGTCTTTGTTTTTTGTCATGACATGTTAGGTGGCTTCCACTGGTTTCCAATCCCAACCCCAATCTTTAGGGGGGCCCCCCCAACTGCTTTCCTTTTGAAATTCCCTCTAAAACACACAAGCAACACCCAGGTACCCGTGTAAAAAAAAAAGGAGGAAAACAAAACGAGACGAGCCGCCCATGTTGAGCCATGTTTCCCTGCCTGCCCTCCTGGGCGCGAGGGTCGTGGACGTCTGCACAGACGGGCTGAGGGACCCATTTGGGGAGGAGCTCCGGGAGGAGGCCACGGAACTCTCGCGGGAGATGACCACCTGGCGGTTCGTTCTCTTTTGGGGCGGGACTGGCGTTTATCTTTATTGTGATTTTATGTGATATATATATATATACACATATATATATATATATTATATATTATATTTAAAAAAGGGAAAGAACTCCCTGCCGCGAAGCTTCCCGCATGGTTCCGCGCGTATGGCGCGGTGCACATTTCAAGAATAATGTCCCTCTCCTTGCTACTTTAGCTTTCGATCAAAAGCCGCCACATTTGACAAACAAACCCCTACGTAAGATCTTACGGGCTGGTTGCACTCAACATAACAAGGACCCTCCACTTCCAGTTTCAAGAGACACTGCGTGCAGAATCCAAAGGCGGCCGCCCAGCTGTTCTGACCCTTTGAGCACCAAAGAAGCATTAGAGCCAGGAGTTCGTCCCCTCTCTCCAAGTTACAGCGTAAACATGCGTGGCCGTTTTGAAAAATAGATGGCCCTGGTACATGCAATAAACCCCATCTAAGCCACGGCTCTCTATTGTTTAAGCAAACCAACCAAAAAGGCCACCTATGACCGTGAAGTTGTCTTTTTCAGCGCGAGAAGAACGGAAGCCAGTAAACAGAACGTCCCCCGAAGGACTGCTGATTGTTGCCAGTGTCCCCAATTGCAACACGCACTTTGAGTGACCTCTGCCCTGGCACTCAAGTGAATCTGGCAAACCAGTGTGCTGAAAGGAAATGTTAACATGGACAAACAATGTGTCCTGGAGCGTCAATGAACTTATTTCTGCAGCTGCATCTGTAAACTGTGGACTATCTTAATCATAATGTTGACCCCATATCAATCAACCCCGGTTTGTAAATAGGGAGTGTCCCTGGGTTTGGTGGGACGTCATCACTTTGGAGGGGAGCTCCCCCGTATGAATAGACAGGGTTGTTTAATGTGGGGCCAACATTACTCTGTCTGACTCCTCAACCCACATTGCGAACTTGATCATCTTCAGAACCTTTATCTGTTGGCTTCCAATTGCTTTTCATTCTGCAGTCTCCACCAGGCAAATTCATGGTGCGTCAAACGCAGATTCAATGCCTGGATTGGTGTTTAGCGACCCGGAGTCAATTGAACAAATATATAAACCTGATGCCAAATCGCACTTCACATCAAATCAATCAGAGCTGCGAACCTGCAAGAGCCAAAAGGGATGGCACAAGTTAGCTCAGAGGCTGCACAAATCACTGGCAGGCGTTGAGGCAACAAAGCAGTGAAGCCCATCCAGTTACAAGTGCACATCACGCAATTTAAGCTTGTGTACTTCTATCGCAGTGATTGCAAACATTGGGCCCCAACAGGTCGGAATCGGAGGCTCCTGTGGGTGTTCCTTTAAGCCAACAAAGGTCCCCTCACAAAAAATGCATGTATATATATATATATATGGTAGAGGTCTGACACCTCCTATATATATAGAGATACCGATGTATAATTTCTCGGGAAGACGTATGCGAGGCCCAAAAGACCAGCACGGTGCCAAGCCAGGCATCCAAACCGTGGGGATGTCGTGCGCATGCCCGTGCCAAGAAGCTCCAAACCCCCGCAAGCTTGGTTGACGTTGCAAGGGGAGCAACATAAAAAATGTTTTTTAGCAGTCGAGTTGGATTTCAACCACTAAACCACAATAAGACAAAAAAACATGCAAAATGTAAGTCCCGACAGCAATGAAATCAAGTTGGAAACAGGGTGCCACTGAGCATTCCCAAAAGAAAAGGAAAATCCTTCTTTGGTTGAGGTGAAAGGACCTGGAACCAAAAGGGCACCCTACCCTCGCCGGCCGCCGACACTTGGCTGATTGCTGCCGGGCCTGTTTGTCCTCCCGCGCTTTGGGCGAACCTGGCGAGGTGACGTCATCATCTCGGTTGCTTTCTGCTCCCCTGTTAAAAGCTTAACTTTGAGTGGTTGAATTCGGAAAACCCATTGGTTGGCAAAAAGTTAAAGTCTTAACATCCAAGCAAAATGCACCTCTGCTTACACGCCCAACGACATGCGGGCGTTTCATCCGGACATTTCGAACCGCCATCACTAACCTGATCAATGCCTTGACGGCTGATGGTTGATGTCGTCACATGCGTGGTGTGGATGGCTACACATACACGAATACCTATGACTCTGACATTTGCCATTGCATTACAATCTTTAAGTATGACAAATGTAGATTTCCACTGGATGCCACTGGACAAACTGAGAAAATTGCATGCAGTAAGGGCCATAGCGGCGACGAGCAGATCGCTTGAAGGCTGTCCGAGCCTGTCACAGCTGGCCCACTTCTTTTGGTCAGTCTCTCCACCAGAAGTCCCAGGCGAAGGACACGAGGGCTACTGGAATGCCAAGAGCGAATATTCCTGCCAACTCGGAACGGAGCCAACCGATCCAAGTGCCATCTTGGCTATTGCACATATCAAGGAACCTTGTGGTTCATCACTCGTCTCTTGAAAGTGTGTTCTTCATCTTGACCAAATCGTCAAATCCATGACTTTCCACTGCCTGTCTCAAACTAGAGAGCCGACTTTTGGGATAGATTGAAGCCCGCAGGTAAAGCGCGCGGAGGAATTGGTCCCCCAACTTTTGCAACACGAGTCAAGGGGACCACCCAAGTCTGGTTTGTTGGGCGGACTCCTTTCACTCTCCCTTCTCCCGCAAATCGCGCCTGGAACTGAAGCACTCAGCCTACTCTTCATGTGCCCCCTCAGAAGGCAAGGGGCGACCAGTCTACCCACCAAAACACAAGTTCGCACCCTAGCTCACCAGACGACAAGTCTACCAAAAATTGGCTCCAAAGAACCCCTTGTTCAGCTTCATAAACACAAGGTCTTTGACTTTGAGCCTGAGTTTTCAGCAATTGACAAACCAGCGTTTGGAGGGATAGCCAAACATAGCCAACCCCAAATTCCAAGCATCCAGGTGTGCTGCAATACCTACTGACATCCCCAGGCTTGAAAAGCATGTCGATTGCCTCCGGAACTGAGGCTGAAGCTTTGCAGAGCGCCCAAAATGCGTTCGCGCGCGTTCGCCGGATTCCCCGCTTTTGCGGCCAAAAAAAAATATTCGTCTGAAATGTGGGACCTCCCTCATTCGAACCGTGCGGCAAATGTCGCCCATGTTCAAAGTTGGCGCTACCGGCCCCCGTTGTGTTCACTTGAAACCAGTCCTGAAAAACATCCTAATCTGCCAAACCACGATAATTATGGGCGTGTCCGTTTTTGAGGGACCCCGAACAATTGGTGGTGTTAAAAGCCACCAAAGAGGGGCACCAACTCCGAAACATAAAGACGGGCGGCCCAGAGACAGAATTGCAGCCACGAAAAGGTCCGATAGGGGGTGGGGGGGGGGTTGGGGGGTGGGGGGGTGTCCGGCCATGTCTTGAACCAACGGGTTGCTTCGATGCGAACCCCTGGAGCTCAATGGGAAATGGACAACAGTTAAGCGCACCTCTCTCTCCGGATCCCAAACGCAACACAAAGAAAAACCGGAACAAAAAAACTCAGATTGCTGACGAGCTCAAGAGGAATCCAGGCAAGTACACAGCTTTTCGAGCGCCAGCCAAATCGGTTGCAGTTGGGTAGGGTGTTCCAACGAGCTCACCGCAAGGTCCGTTTCCGGGCCGAAAGGCTCGTTGCTGCCGTCCGAGATGGTCCTCAGGGACCAATGGGCTCCGCGACCCCCGCTGGGCGCAAAGAAAAGCCCCGCCTTGGGGCGGTCTCCACCGTCGGTCCAGCTGAGTAATCCAACTGGGGTGAATGCCACAACTGCCCCATGTTTTCTCCCTTTGTTGTTTTCCCCGAAAGGAGAGTGTGCCATCTAGGTTCGCCCTCCATGTTCCCACAGGTTTAGTGGGAGATGGGTTAAATTGGGCGACCCCCCAATCAAAGGGTACCCTTGCAAAAAACCGCACTCATACACTGAAATCCTTTGGGCTTTGGGGTTTTTGAATTTCATCCGCCCGGAAAGCTGGGAGCGGATTCGGTTTGGCAAGTCTTTGATACCGGGCCAGCCAGGAGACGATTTTCCTTGTCCCTTTCATGGCAAACATAGTTGCCAGGTTTCACAGCTTTGGAAGAAAGCGTCCCTGATTTGCAGAAAACACTTCAACCGCACGGAAAAAGTGTTGTGATATTTGCATTCAGGGAGGCGTGTGTGTGTGTGTGTGTGTGCCATGTGTGTGTGTGTGTGTGTGTGCCATGTGTGTGTGTGTGTGCCATGTGTGTGTGTGTGTGTGTGTGTGTGTGTGTGTGTGTGTGTGTGTGTGTGTGTGTGTGTGTGTGTGTGTGTGTGTGTGTGTGTGTGTGTGTGTGTGTGTGTGTGCGTGCCATAACTACTTTCATTGTGGGAGCCGAGAGAGATAGACTGATCATCCGCGGCAAAAAACAAGCTGGACCCTTCCAAATGGCGTGGTTTTGTTCTGTTTTGTTTGAAGCACTTCCCCCAACCGTCCGCTAGCTTTGGACATGCCCACGCAGTGTTGCCATCAGCTGCAAACTTCAATCCCACAGTGAAGCTGGGCAGTGTGGACGACTTCCGGACGAATGTTCTGCCGGGTGCTCATAGAATAAGAAGCACAAAACCAGAAGATCTCGAGGCAAGGGCATGTTCTATTGTTCTGTCCCCTGCTAAAAGTTTAACTTTTCTTTTAGTGGTTCAATGGAAAACCCATGACTTGGCAACAAGTCAAAGTCCCAACATCCCTTGGCAAAATGCCCCAAGGTTTCTCCGCCTTGTTCACCGGAGTGTTTCCTTAGCTCCGGATCCCCCCGCCAACCGGGCGCCTGGTGAACCCTGCATCCTGGGACAGGCGGTGACCAAAGCTCGGCAGGCTCGACTCCATGGACAGCCGCGTCCTCTTCACCTCGCCTACGAGCTTCGTGGACGAGTCGCCAAGCGAACCAGGATGAACCAGGGATATGCGATATCTTTTGAGCGATAGATGGCATTATTCATTCAGACCAAGTATGTTGTGCAGAATCCCGGAACATGCGGTCGGGACCTAACACGGGCAAGGCCTCACAATCACTCCAATCCTCAGGCTGACCGAGCCTAAATTTCCCGGGAGCGGAACAAAAATCTCCGCGCGAATGGAACGCCTTAGCTCAAGTCGGCGTTATCCAAAACCCACATGGAGCCCAGAACGCCAACTCGACATTCTAAGCATTTAATGAACTGCCTATTGCCTGAGGTTCCAAAAGTTGAGATCCTGGACCATCGTTTCAGCCCACAAGTTCACTTGGTCGGTAGGCAACGGCTTTTTGCGCATGCAAGCAGTCGGCTGAATGGCCATGGTAATGTGTGCAGAAGCTAAGCTGGGTCCCCATTGGTGGGAGTCATTCGTATCATTCGGCGAGTGCAAATGCATGCAGTCATAACTAAGCCGTTGAATATGAACTCTCAACCTTTGACACCCGGATGAAGGGTTTTGGGATTCTTTTTGTGGCAGCACCAAACAGCAACTCACTCACACTTGATCCAGATTAGATCCAGAGACCATACACAAGTGATTTGGGCAGGTGTAAATCTGACCCGCCACAGGCGCTTTAATATAGGCGGTCAGTCGTTTGCCAAAAGCTGCAACCATTGCTCCTTCAAAGACTTATCGCGTGTTAAAGTTCACCCCGGATTAATAAACCCCTGTGTATTAGTATGGGGGTGTCCCCGGACTTATCACTTTCGAAACAGGGGTTTATTAATCCAGGGTGAACATTACCCTCCCCACACACATCATGAAGCAACACACCGCTTGTCAAATGTCGTCCACATCAACCTCGCCCAGCCATGAGTGCCCATCTTGTATTAGTTTGCTTGCACGAGCGCATGTCGGGGTGTGTGTGTATGTCTTTTTTTTAGTGGACCCCCCAAAAATGGTGGTGTTCCTTTTGATGTCCCTTTAAAACCAAAAAGGGGTACCATCAAAACAAGACACATCCGTTTGTGTCGCCTGATGATTGCCCCAAGCGCGGGTGAGCTTTTTAGGGGATGGGAGCAACCGACCATGTTATCACCATCTACCACAAACCGTTCTCATCATTACTCCTAAACCAACAATATAATCATAATGAATAAATAGATTATAACATACTTGCTGCGCGTACTTGTCCCACTGCATAAACCATTCTTCCCACTGTGATGGAAGTTCGGCTCGAGACCTATGCCCCAAAACTTCGACTCGATACGACCGGCCACGCCACCTTTCTTGGGCTCCACCTGAGCCCGGCTACTGGCGCTGAGTTGACACGGGCCTGTGATTTTCAGGATCCCCGTGCCTTGATTTTGCAGAGAAACCAAAAGAACAGCCACCACTCTGAAGGGGTCCATTTTGTTAACACACACATGGCAAGCTCTGTTCACGTGCCACCGCATGTCTGCCGCGATCGGCTACGATACGAAATGAACGATCACGCAAGTTACGTTCCTGTTGTTGCGCGTCTCCGCGAGTTTTGCCACGCTTAGCATGTGGAGAGAGCCCACTAGAGGAACAATCCTTGCGCAACAAACCCTTTGTGACTCTCGGGCTGCTTCTGCCCTCTCTTGCCACTAGGACGCCAAGAATCTGACGGCTTTGGCAGGTCTCAGAGGCCCGGAATCACTGAATCCATGGTCCACGTTCCCAACTCCGACGTTGGTATCGCGTGTCTGGTAACATGGCAGCGGAAAACCAGGCTTCTTCAAGGATCCAACCTCTAACATTCCCAAGCTGCCACATACCAACCTGAATGAATGGTATGAGTACCAAGCTGTGGCGCTCAAATAGGGGTGAGCTCTGCAAAGAGTGAGGGAACTTGTCCTAGTCCTCAGATCAGAAGTAAAGTTCACTTCTAGTGGGGCTACATGGACCACACTTAACTTTTGGTGGGCTAAATGGAGCCCCCCCACTAAACCCAACTCCCCTGCCAAAAGCTTAACTTTTGGTGGGCTAAATGGAACACCCCCCCACTAAACCCAACTCCCCTGCCAAAAGCTTAACTTTTGGTGGGCTAAATGGAACTCCCCCCCACAAAACCCAACTCCCAAAAGCTTAACTTTTGGTAGGCTAAATAAAACACCCCCCCACTAAACCCAACTCCCCTACCAAAAGCTTACCTTTTGGTGGGCTAAATGGAACACCCCCCCACTAAACCCAACTCCCCTGCCAAAAGCTTAACTGTTGGTGGGCTAAATGGAACACCCCCCCCCACTAAACCCAACTCCCCTGCCAAAAGCTTAACTTTTGGTGGGCTATATAGAACACCCCCCCACTAAACCCAACTAAACCCAACTCCCTGCGAAGAGCTTAACTTTTGGTGGGCTAAATGGAGCACCCCCCCCACTAAACCCAACTCCCCTGCCAAGAGCTTAACTTTTGGTGGGCTAAATGGAACACCCCCCCACTAAACCCAACACCCCTGCCAAGAGCTTAACTTTTGGTGGGCTAAATGGAACACCCCCCCCGCTAAACCCAACTCCCCTGCCAAAAGCTTAACTTCTGGTGGGCTAAATGGAACACCCCCCCACTAAACCCAACTCCCCTGCCAAAGGCTTGACTTTTGGTGAGCTAAATGGAACACCCCCCGACTAAACCCAACTCCCCTGCCAAAAGCTTAACTTTTACACCCCCCCCACTAAACCCAACTCCCCTGCCAAAAGCTTACCTTTTGGTGGGCTAAATGGAACACCCCCCCCCCCCACTAAACCCGACTCCCCTGCCAAAAGCTTAACTTTTGGTGGGCTAAATGGAACACCGCCCCCCCACTAAACCCAACTCCCCTGCCAAAAGCTTAACTTTTGGTGGGCTAAATGGAACACCCCCCCACTAAACCAAACTCGCCTGCCAAGAGCTTAACTTTTGGTGGGCTAAATGGAACACCCCCCCACTAAACCCAACTCCCCTGCCAAGAGCTTAACTTTTGGTGGGCTAAATGGAACACCCCCCCACTAAACCCAACTCCCTGCCAAAAGCTTAACTTTTGGTGGGCTAAATGGAACACCCCCCCCACTAAACCCAACTCCCCTGCCAAAAGCTTAACTTTTGGCGGGCTAAATGGAACACCCCCCACTGAACCCAACTCCCCTGCCAAGAGCTTAACTTTTGGTGGGCTAAATGGAACACCCCCCCCACTAAACCCAACTCCCCTGCCAAGAGCTTAACTTTTGGTGGGCTAAATGGAACACCCCGCCACTGAACCCAACTCCCCTGCCAAGAGCTTAACTTTTGGTGGGCTAAATGGAACACCCCCCCCACTAAACCCAACTCCCCTGCCAAAAGCTTAACTTTTGGTGGGCTAAATGGAACACCCCCCCACTACACCCAACTCCCCTGCCAAAAGCTTAACTTTTGGTGGGCTACATGGAACACCCCCCCCCAACTCCCCTGCCAAGAGCTTAACTTTTGGTGGGCTAAATGGAACACCCCCACTAAACCCAACTCCCCTGCCAAAAGCTTAAATTTTGGTGGGCTAAATGGAACACCCCCCCACTACACCCAACTCCCCTGCCAAAAGCTTAACTTTTGGTGGGCTAAATGGAACAACCCCCCCCCACTAAACCCAACTCCCCTGCCAGGAGCTTAACTTTTGGTGGGCTAAATGGAACACCCCCCCCCACTAAACCCAACTCCCCTGCCAGGAGCTTAACTTTTGGTGGGCTAAATGGAACACCCCCCCCCCCCCGCTAAACCCAACTCCCCTGCCAAAAGCTTAACTTTTGGTGGGCTAAATGGAACACCCCCCCACTAAACCCAACTCCCCTGCCAAAAGCTTAACTTTTGGTAGGCTAAATGGAACACCCCCCCCACTAAACCCAACTCCCCTGCCAAAAGCTTAACTTTAGGTGGGCTAAATGAAACACCCCCCAAAAACTTAACTTTGGGTGGGCTAAATGGAACACCCCCCCCACTAAACCCAACTCCCTGCCAAAAGCTTAACTTTTGTGGGCTAAATGGAACACCCCCCCCACTAAACCCAACTCCCCTGCCGAAAAACTTAACTTTTGGTGGGCTAAATGGAACACCCCCCCCCCACTAAACCCAACTCCCCTGCCCAAAGCTTAACTTTTGTGGGCCAAATGGAACACCCCCCCCCCCCCCACTAAGCCCAACTCCCCTGCCGAGAAACTTAACTTTTGGTGGGCTAAATGGAACACCCCCCGACTAAACCCAACTCCCCTGCCAAAAGCTTAACTTTTACACCCCCCCACAAAACCCAACTCCCCTGCCAACAGCTTACCTTTTGGTGGGCTAAATGGAACACCCCCCCCCACTAAACCCAACTCCCCTGCCAAAAGCTTAACTTTTGTGGGCTAAATGAAACACCCCCCCCCCCCCCCACTAAACCCAACTCCCCTGCCGAGAAACTTAACTTTTGGTGGGCTAAATGGAACACCCCCCGACTAAACCCAACTCCCCTGCCAAAAGCTTAACTTTTACACCCCCCCACAAAACCCAACTCCCCTGCCAACAGCTTACCTTTTGGTGGGCTAAATGGAACACCCCCCCCCACTAAACCCAACTCCCCTGCCAAAAGCTTAACTTTTGGTGGGCTAAATGGAAGACGCCCCCACTAAACCCAACTCCCCTGCCAAAGGCTTGACTTTTGGTGGGCTAAATGGAACACCCCCCGACTAAACCCAACTCCCCTGCCAAAAGCTTAACTTTTACACCCCCCCCACTAAACCCAACTCCCCTGCCAAAAGCTTACCTTTTGGTGGGCTAAATGGAACACCCCCCCCCACTAAACCCGACTCCCCTGCCAAAAGCTTAACTTTTGGTGGGCTAAATGGAAGACGCCCCCACTAAACCCAACTCCCCTGCCAAAAGCTTAACTTTTGGTGGGCTAAATGGAACACCCCCCCCACTAAACCAAACTCCCCTGCCAAGCCAAAAGCTTAACTTTTGGCGGGCTAAATGGAACACCCCCCCACTGAACCCAACTCCCCTGCCAAAAGCTTAACTTTTGGTGGGCTAAATGGAACACCCCCCCCCCACTACACCGAACTCCCCTGCCAAAAGCTGAACTTCTGGTGGGCTAAATGGAACACCGCCCCCCCACTAAACCCAACTCCCCTGCCAAAAGCTTAACTTTTGGTGGGCTAAATGGAACACCCCCCCTCTAAACCCTACTAAACCCAACTCCCCCGGCAAAAAGCTTAACTTTTGTGGGCCAATTGGAACACCCCCCCCCACTAAACCCAACTCCCCTGCCAAAAGCTTAACTTTTGGTAGGCTAAATGGAACACCCCCCCACTAAACCCTACTAAACCCAACTCCCCTGCAAAAAGCTTAACTTTTGGTGGGCTAAATGGAACACCCCCCAACTAAACCAAACTCCCCCGTAACTTTTGGTGGCTAAATGGAACACCCCCCCACTAAACCCAACTCCCCTGCCAAAAGCTTAACTTTTGGTGGGCAAAATGGACCACCCCCCCCGCTAAACCCAACACCCCTACCAAAAGCTTAACTTTTGGTGGGCTAAATGGAACACCCCCCAACTAATCCAAACACCCCTACCAAAAGCTTAACTTTTGGTGGGCTAAATGGAACACCCCCCCACTAAACCCAACTCCCCTGCCAAAAGCTTAACTTTTGGTGGGCTAAATGGAACACCTTCCCGCTAAACCCATCTCCTCTGCCAAGAGCTTAACTTTTGGTGGGCTAAATGGAACACCCCCCCCCCACTAAACCCAACTCCCCTGCCAAAAGCTTAACTTTTGGTAGGCTAAATGGAACACCCCCCCCCCCAAAACCCTACTAAACCTGCCAAGAGCTTAACTTTTGGTGGGCTAAATGGAACACCCCCCCCACTAAACCCAACTCCCCTGCCAAAAGCTTAACTTTTGGCGGGCTAAATGGAACACCCCCCCACTACACCCAACTCCCCTGCCAAAAGCTTAACTTTTGGTGGGCTAAATGGAACAACCCCCCCCCCCACTAAACCCAACTCCCCTGCCAGGAGCTTAACTTTTGGTGGGCTAAATGGAACACCCCCCCACTAAACCCAACTCCCCTGCCAAAAGCTTAACTTTTCGTGGGCTAAATGCAACACCCCCCCACTAAACCCAACTCCCCTGCCAAAAGCTTAACTTTTGGTAGGCTAAATGGAACACCCCCCCGCTAAACCCAACTCCCCTGCGAAGAGCTTAACTGTTGGTGGGCTAAATGGAACACCCCCGAAAAACTTAACTTTTGGTGGGCTAAATGGAACACCCCCCCCACTAAACCCAACTCCCTGCCAAAAGCTTAACTTTTGTGGGCTAAATGGAACACCCCCCCCCACTAAACCCAACTCCCCTGCCGAAAAACTTAACTTTTGGTGGGCTAAATGGAACACCCCCCCCCACTAAACCCAACTCCCCTGCCAAAAGCTTAACTGTTGTGGGCTAAATGGAACACCCCCCCCACTAAACCCAACTCCCCTGCCGAAAAACTTAACTTTTGCTGGGCTAAATGGAACACCCCCCCCCACTAAACCCAACTCCCCTGCCAAAAGCTTAACTTTTGTGGGCCAAATGGAACACCCCCCCCCCCACTAAGCCCAACTCCCCTGCCGAAAAACTTAACTTTTGGTGAGCTAAATGAACCCCCCCCCCCCCACTAAACCCAACTCCCCTGCCAAAAGCTTAACTTTTGTGGGCTACATGGAACACACCCCCCACTAAACCCAACTCCCCTGCCAAGAGCTTAACTTTTGGTGGGGTAAATGGAACACCCCCCCCCCCCCACTAAACCCAACTCGCCTGCCAAAAGCTTAACTTTTGTGTGCTAAATGGAACACCCCCCCCACTAAACCCAACTCCCCCGCCGAAAAACTTAACTTTTGGTGGGCTAAATGGAACCACCCCCCCCCCACTAAACCCAACTCCCCTGCCAAAAGCTTAACTTTTGTGGGCTAAATGGAACACCCCCCCCACTAAACCCAACTCCCCTGCCAAAAGCTTAACTTTTCGTGGGCTAAATGGAACACCACCCCCCCCACTAAACCCAACTCCCCTGCCAAAAGCTTAACTTTTGTGGGCTAAATGGAACACCCCCCCCACTAAACCCAACTCCCCTGCCGAAAAACTTAACTTTTGGTGGGCTAAATGGAACACCGCCCCCCCACTAAACCCAACTCCCCTGCCAAAAGCTTAACTTTTGTGGGCTAAATGGAACACCCCCGCCACTAAACCCAACTCCCCTCGGAAAGACTTAACTTTTGGTGGGCTAAATGGAACACCCCCCAAATCGTGGCTGGCTCTTTCAGCCAAGCTGTCCATCCCCTGGTCCAAGCTCCGGGTCCCCGAGCTGTCTCTGGAGGAAGCGCCTGGCAGTTGGCTCGTGGGGATGTTGGGGTCCCAAAGTTGACATAACCTCACTCCTGGTGCGTCCGGAAATATGTGATTCCTAGCACCTACCCGCCCCCTGGCAAGGAGCCTAGGATGAAGGCGATGTGGGTGACACCAAATACTCCTGGGATCCTTATGACTCCTAGCGGATCCGGCCAGAGATGCTTCCAAGGTGCTGCAGCTACTCTGCGCGATTCCAGTGTCAGATCATTTCGAGCAATTCACTTCTAAAGAACAGCCCTTTCTCCTCGCCAACCGAAGGACAAGACAGGCATCTGCACTGCTTTGCCGTTCATGTGCTGATCCATTGAAAGTTGCAAGCGCCCAATAGCGAACCCCAAAACCAAAGTCCGCTTCTGCTTGAGCAAGTGACACACTCAGGGCGCCTGCTTTTGTTACTATGCACGCCAATACACGAAAGCCGCTGGTGTGGTCCAATAGCATGATTGAAGTTGGGCCAGGTTTAACATATACAATACTATACTTGTCGTGCTTCACTCAAACGTGGTCCAACAAATGCATCCAAATTCTACCCTAAAACACGTTCAAAAAGGGGTTTCGTACAGCCACACGGGGCACTGAGCCATCATTCCGGGACTTGCCCTTTTAGGAGTCTCTCCTTGTATTGAGAGGACGAGACAGAGGTAAACAAGATCGAACGGAAGGGATTTCCACGGCCCCCGCTGAAGAACCACGGGTCATGTCACAGTTACCACGACTTACGGTTCCAGTTTGCTGCACGGTCTTTGATGTAGGGCTCTGCTTGGCACGGAAGGAAACTCAGCCACGTTGCTGCGTCGCCGATCTAATTACAAAAACCTATTCAGGTGTCCTAGCATCTACCTCCCAAGGAAACGCACGCACACACACACACACATTGTAATCATCACCTGGTCAAGTGTCCAAGCGCAAAAGTATGAAGACCCCGCTAAAGAACATGAAGTGTGGATGGGCAAAATCCCGCACCACTTTGAAACCCTTGAAAACCCTTCTTTGTTTCTGGAGACGCCAGGAGAAAGAGCTCAGTTCTAATTCGAGAGTTTGCTTTTTTCGCGGATCCGGAGGGGCCTGGGAGTTTCTGCGTGAGCCGGCCACAGAGCTAGGGCCCGACCTGCCGTGGAGGAAGCTTGAATACACAAGTGGGGGGGGGGGGTCTGAAGATGAATGAGGGTGGGACGGCAACAAGGAAGCATAAGGAAACACAAATGTTGGGAAACCGTTCAAAACAGACAAGACTTAGAACAACTAGGCCACCATCACCCAACTCGTGGAAGGATACCTGTGGGAAACGCGGGAAAATACAAGACACTTGCCAGTGTTTGCTGGTAACCAAGCTTTCCCGCTGACATTCAGCAATTCCGAAGGGACTCATCAGCAATTCCAACATTCAGCAGTCAGACAAATAGGCTGAGAACGTGCTGGGTCTTCTCTTTTGACTTGTGGGCCATGCTCCCACCTCAAGATGCGAATATTGTGCAGAAACTGGGCATTGGCTAGCTCCTCCAGTAGAGAGGTTAGACTAAGGGTACCTTCTTTTGTGTAGTCCATTTTAGTAGGGGAACCCTCCCCCAAAAAAGGGTAAAAGGGCACTACTGGGGGACCTAGTTGGTGATGCCCACTTTTCCTTCGCTCGCCCCTCCCTTACCATTCATATTGACCGTCCTCATGCTCACGCCCCTTCTATCTTCTGCCTTCGGAATAGGTCCAAATGATGATGTCGTTCATGTTTGGGTGTTAAATGGAGGGTGGTTGGAAAACGACAAACAAACAAGCAAACGTCATTCCCCTGTTGACTGCTATGTGGGAAACTATTAGAGTCCCCCGCAGGCACTTATCTGCAGATGCTCTATACCAAAAAGGAAAGTGACGCATGACACATGAACTATGGATATTGCAGTAACTCGCGTATACTGCGTGCAAAGGATTGTTCTCGAAAACCTCCCAATGATTTACCAACTGCGAAAGTTATATGTATTGCGTCTGTTGGTCTGACTCAGAATTTGGCAGTCGGCTGGGCTTCTGGATTCCCATAGCAAAGCTTCCGCAAAACAAGCTAAGTCGAGGCAGACAAATCACTCTAGTTATAATACAGTCGAGTGGGCAGTACCCTAATCAAAGCTTCGCCCAAAATATATTCCTTAGTGATCGCATACGGGTGTGATTTTTTGAGGTTACCCTTGCTGGGGCTGATTTAATGGGATATCAAATTTTGGGCTTGGCATGGTTTGACACAAACCCAAACGTCCGTTCTCTAGCATTTACTCATGCTGCATGTCACTCTGACCTCTGGTGCTGAATGAGCCCAAGCCCTACGTCGAGTTTCACGTCCGGGTGGACAAACACAAAGACGTACCTGGTACCAGTTGCAATCCCCCCCCCCTTCATTCCCGCCAAACTCTTTGGAGGGGGTTGACCATCACCGCTCAGGGGTCGCCCTGCAAGGTTTCAAAAAGGGGAAATGGCTCGGAAACATAACAACAGTGCCCAGGGACCCCTCACGCGTGGTTGAAGAACAATGATGCGCCGGGCACACATAGAAGCTTCCTGGCGCGCGAGGTTCGCATTTGAGGAAGGTTCCTAAAGGGACTTGAAGCGCGAAACCCACGCATGAACTCACTTCGGATCGAGTGGACTGGGCAAAAAACAAGCAGCCACACGTTTTGCCTGCCACTACAATGGGCTTTCCAAAAAAAATGAGGTCCATGACCTCAGGGAGTCAGTGAAGGCGTCCAATCGTTATGTTCCTGATGGCACTTGTGCATCTGCTGACCTTTGAAATCGGACGCCCTTCACCGCCTGAAACTCGTTACCAGCACCACATGCTGTATTTGTCGTCTGCGGCGTTCCCGTTCGTTTGCTGGCCTTGGTAGTCCCTAATCGTTAAAAAAAGGATGGACTATACTGATGGGTCATGAACCCGACCTCTCTAAGCAGCCTTACGCATCGAAGTTTGAAAGCTTATGCTGGACTAACAAGGCATTCATGGCGCTTTCCTCTTGTCAGCACCTCTTGCCTTCCTGTTCAAACTTCTTGGTGGAACAAGAACTGCGGGAAGTAGACATGTTGCTTTGCCATATTGGTAACAGCCAATTCGCCTGGTTAAAACGCAGACAGCGGGGCAAAGCAAGCATAGAGGCTCGTTGGTCGACTCCATCAGTGAGCTGGAAGGGTGACATATGCGTCTCCGATGGCTTTACCCCATGCTGGCTATGCTGAAAATAGAACCGCACAGCAAAATGCCACCAGAATTTCCAGAAGCCTGGGTCGACTACATCCAAGATGGCCAACATCTCAACAAAACTTCCAGCACATGGCGATCGGGGAATTGGCAGCGCCGTTGGTTCAGAGTGACTGACCAGTTTTGTTTTGACAGGCCAAACGCCCCACCAAGCGTTTGGATCCGCTTTATTTAAGAGGATGAAATACTGCTCTACGGAAAAGCCAACGTTGCGAAGAAGTAACCCAACATATGTCGCATTTCATGTAGTCTTATCCAGCCTCAAATGGCTGGTATCTCTTCTGGCCCCTTCCAACGAATTCATCCAACAGGAGGGGTCTCGTTCATGGCACCCTCACTCAGTTGCCATGGCACCCACTGTGATGCTACCGGCTCAAGGTTTGGATCTCACCTTCAAAGTTAGGCCTTTCAAGTGGGTCCGGCAACACACCAACACTAGGCACATACACGCACAGATATGGTTGCAAATCAGGAAACGTGCTAAAGCGTCCGATTCACAACCAACTTGTCCCCTATCCTGGTTGCCGACTGAGCACTGCCTCGTCCCATCTATGATGTTTTCCATTGCCGAGGTATACCCTTTCCAAAGAGGCTGTGTATCTCATTTCGTTCGTGGGTAGTGGAAGCCATCGTAGATCCCCCAACTCCATTTTGTCTAGTCCTCCCCAAGGGAAAACATGAATGGAGATCTCCAGGGGTCTGAAATCGCCCCATCCCCCATCCCCCCATCCCCCATCCCCCATCCCTCTTCTCAGATGCCCGGTGGCCATGGGAAAAAAGAACCGACACCCCCTCTTTTGTTGGTTGAAATTAAAGGAATTGGAAGCCTTACCCAAACAAGCTGGAAAAAAAGGCACCATCGGGCCAGATAGTTTTTTCAACGATCCTTACTCCAGACACCTGAACATTGCCTTGTCAAGGGTGGTTTCCCCTTATTTTGGTGGAAAAAGCCATGCTTCACATGGTTGCAACATGTATATTTTAAGGAGTCCTGTTAAAGGGGGGGGGCATGAGTCGCTCCCAAGGTCGCCAGCAGTGCTGACACAGAGCAGGACTCAATGGCCAGCATCGCCAGCTTCGAAGGGTCTGTAGTTCCCAGCGCCTCAGTGCTCCAGGAGGCATTTGGGAAGTTCTCTCTCTCAGAGTCCCTCAACTTCCTTTCTTCTTGGGGCCTTCAAAAAATGCAGTTCTGTTGGAACCCATCAGTAAGCTGCAACTTTGACCCGTGTCGCTCTCTCTCGCTCTCCCTCTCACTCTCTCTCTCTCTCTCTCTCTCTCTCTCTCTCTCTCTCTCTCTCTCTCTTGCTTTGCTTGAGGATTTGGAGGGGGTGCCCCATTTTGGCGCAGACCCGTTCAGACTGCTGGGATTTGTCAAGGGGGTGTCAATATTGTTGAGTATATCAACCGTTGTTGGTTGTATGTTGGCTGTTGCTCCAGCTGAGGGTGTTTGAGAATGGTAAAATCATGAGGCCAGCCTCGAACACCTGAATATTATGAATGGTCCGAAAGGACACCAATCCAATGTTCTATCCTTATAAGGGTGTGATCATATCTTCGATATTGCATGATCAACTTGACTCATAGAGTAACGTTGGCCTTACCTAGTATGTTATATAATACATAGTATACACGAATGTTGCATGGCTATGTGTAAGAAAAGGGAGACCATCAAAGTCGTGGGTATTGGTGTCCAGAGATGTTAAGTCATGGCTCCGCTGTCCTTCTCTTTCCTGGGTAGCATGGCGGAAGGTTTGGCCCACCAAAATGTCACATGTGTGATGTGGATGGGTTTAAGTCTTGCAGGCGCCGAGATCAAGGATCTGCTTTCCAGAGTGACAAATGTAGAATTCGCCAGTTGTCCCGCTTGCATGGGATCCCTTAGGTTTGTACCATGCCGCCGCCGGCTAGTAGATAAGCGCCTGGTGTGGGGTATTAGACCAAGTTGTCTCAGCATGAGACACCATGTGTTAAAATCCGAACTTTGACCCCCATGGCCTCTAACCAAACCCAAAAGCGTGAGCCTCTAAAAACCAAGCCTCTCACAACAGGTGGCTGTCCTTTGCCTTCCCTTTCAACTAACCCCAGCAAGGCGAGCCTTAACAACTCACACACACAAACGTTCTAGTGGGTTCTCTCTGGCAACACACCCTCCAAATATATGGCCCCATTATAGTATCAAAGTCACCCAAGCGATATGCTAAAAAGCAGCCACCAACCAGTTTCTAACTTTAATAGCCCCCGCCCAAAAACAATAAACCACATCCCAAGCAAATCCCAGCCCCTCAAAACACACTCCCCCCAAGGAAACAAAGAACCCGGCAAAGAAAATCCCCACCCCCACAAAAAAAAAAGCTCAGGTGATATCCCCAACAGCATGCAGTGCTCTTTTTAGTGCTCGCACCTCACAGCCCTCGCAAAACCCGTGGAACCCTGGTGGAACCCTGGTGGAGCTCTGGTGGAACTCTGGTGGAACTCTGGTGAAACTCTGGTGGAACTCTGGTGGAACTCTGGTGGAACTGGGCTGAGACCCCAAAGCTTTCAGCTGTTGGGGAATAATGATAATAAAGCACACACGCACACACGCAAAAAATCAAAAAAAAAAAAAAAAAAAAAAAACGGAACACTTCCCACGCCCCAAATGCCGCAGCTCCCGCCCCAAAGTCACCGCGTCTTTTTCGCGAAGCCCCGGGGCCCTCGGCCACCATGGAGTTCCGACGCTCCGTGAGCTCGGCGATGAAGACCTCGCGCAGGACCTTCTTCTTCTCGATGTCCTGGCCGCGGAGAAGAAAGGACGAATTTGTGGGACATTTGGATGTATATGTAAAAACGTGTGTATATAAACTGCAAAAAAAAGGACATGGGTTTTATCGGACATTTGGATGTATGTATATATACTATATAGTTGTATACTGTATATACAGTAGTTCTTCAAACAAAAATGAGATGTGTGTATAATCGTTCTAAAAAAACAACAACGCTAAGAATTCGTTTGAAACATGCCTGGAGCCATGCAGCATGTTTCACACCGGACTACCGCGATATCAACCAGTATGGTTCAGAATGACCATCACACCAGGTTTGCATGGATCAAACACCGTTCATGAATCCGTGGCCGCACAGCATCAAATGAAGATTGAAGACACACACACACACACTCAGACAGCAAGAAAGCATCAACCAGCAAGCTCAACACACTGCATGGCAAGCAACTGCCAGTAGCAACAACACATAAACGACACACACCTGCAATGTCAGCCTCAAACAAATACCCTCAACCTGTGCTGTGCAAAAGCAAGGGAGCTGAACAGGCAAATCACATCTTCCCCCCGATGAGGACGGCATCGCAACGAATCCAGGGTTCGTTCATTTCTCCTTGAAACAGCTTGAGCACCATTTCGTTGCCATGTCCAATCCGGTTCCTTTGTGTGGAACCCCTGCGAATGGCTCGAATACGCCCGACGCCAACCTGAAACTCGGCCCTCACACTTCTACTCGACTTTGACCAGCTTGGACTGGCATCCAAGAACAAAAACGCAAACTCTCTCCGTCAGCGAACATGCTGTGAAGTACCAGTTTTCAGACCGCAAAGCTCCCTCCACAAACCTCCCGCAAACTCCAACGAAGCGCGCGCTTTGCGTACGTCTTGCACTGGGAACCACCCCCTTTCTTGGGGCTTAAGGCAAACCCACAGACGCGAACCACTCGCCGCCATGTTTTGTTCGCATGTCCTGTCTCCCTTAAAAGGATTGCCTGGCGTGCAGAGACGATTTTCGTTCTCGCGGCGAGACACCCCTCCTCTTTCGTCTGCAGCTTTCCTTCCTGCTCCGCCTGACAAACTCAGCAATCCCTCACCGGTTTTCCAGGCTGCCCGCCAACACAAACTCGTGGGTACCCCCAAAATGGCTTCGGCTTTCCTTTTGGTGTCCTTTTTAAAACCAGAAAGGGGGTACCAACTCCAAAAAAGACACACCAACTCCCGTGTCGCGTACAGCTTTCAGCAGGTCCATGGCGCTATGTCCAGACGCATCAAAACAAGGCCCGGATTCCATTGTTCCGAGCGAGCAAAAGACTAGGTAATATATTGAAGTTGACCTCTCGCATGGTTAAAACCGGCTTTGAATCCAGAGGTTCAAAGCGGACAAATGAAGATGGTCCAAAATCATGGTGACTTCCTTTTCTGTCAGTTCCCATGAAGACAGCTTAAACATTGCTTTGCTTATATAGAGCCAGCTTCCAGTGGGTTTTCCCATCAACAGCCCACATAGATCCCATTCCGTGCATCAGACACCATACCAAAGACTCGTCTCAGAAAAGTGCGCGCAGTGGTCCACCCAATCCATTGACACCCTCAAAGTAGACGAACAGTGGACAATATAATATTTCAAACCATCCAGAAATCATAATACGTCACGCTCAATCTTCGCACCTCCCTTGCTGTGCTTAAGCCCGACATTGGGTCTTTGAACCTCCTTGGACCCTCCGGACAACCCAACTCACTCCCGCCTCTTCCGCCTCCTCAATAAAACTCTCCAGGACTGGCAGAAAGGCCGGAAGAGCTCAACCAACAGCCAAACCGAGTTTCTTAGAATGGTGATACCAACTGAATGGTTCACATGCGATCTTGCCACTCCAAACAGCCAACAGCATTAAACATGTTGCAACCAAGGCACACACACACACATACGCACGCACACGTTCATCTGACATGCTGCAAGATGCATGCCTGCACATGCTTCCAGCTCGGTTTCAAGCACACGGCTGAACACACATTGAAGAAGAGTCAACCCCAACCCCAACTTCCATCAATCAACTCAATGATCATATGGATGTGGCTAAAAACATGGTACCCGAAATTGCATATGGAAAAGGCTTAACCCTGCGTAACCAGCCTGGTTTCATTTTGAGCCACACCTACATAAGCGATGTTTGTCCCTTGTTCCAACCCTGAGCCGACTTCTTGGTGACAGATGTGAAGCATATCGATTGTTACTGCTGGGGTCATTTTTTGATTGTTTCTAGGGGTTGTCAAAGTCAGAAAATGGGGTCATTTCCCTTTAACCCACCACTGAACGGGGGTGACTTTGATCATGGTAAAATTTCTTAGGCCAGTGCTGGCCTGTCTGGTCGTGCTTCCGGTAGGCAGCCATTACTTTGGCCAGGAAGCTGTCCTTATCCTCCTCACGGCAAACAAACGCCTGAACCGCATCCCCAACTCAGTTCCGGCGTTGAAAAGATAGGCCCAACTTGCTCATGCTCAATAAGGAACATGGGAATGAACCCAGGAATTCCCTTAAAGGAAACCACCAGTTGAATGGTTTTTTTCGGGGTCATTCCATGTCTCATTCCCTGCCAACGCACCAGCCAGAAAAGTCTGATACCTTTTTCTCTACCAAACCCGGCTTTCCAAGTTGCAGGTCCAACCCGAGAGCCTCAACTGGAATCAGCCGAATCTGAACATCTTGCAATTTCATTGGGACCCTTACTCGGTTGCGAAATCTGCTCCCCTGCTAAAAGTTTAACTTTTAGTGGTTTAGTGGAAAACCCATTAGTTGGCAAAAAGATAAAGTCCTAACAGCCAAGCAAAATGCACCAAAGCTTATGTTGAACGAATCCCTATGGTGTTCCTATGTTGAAAGAACCGCTAGTCTTTATTCATATATGGTGTATCTCGAAATAGGAATCCCCTCTTTAATGGCTCCGGTTTCCTCATAGTTTCCCTATAAACACCAACTCAAAGCAACCCCTTATCAGCCGAGCCTCCTTTCGAAGCCCTGAAATCTGCTACGAGAGCCTATCGACTGGGGACAAATACAAACGCGCACAAACACACACTGGATGGAAGTCATTTGATGGAACTAACGATTTAAGTAATTTGATGGATGTAACTAATTTGATGTAAGTAATTTAATTGGATTGGATTGGATGGAAGTAAGGGTTATTTGAGCTGCAGCAATGAGCCTGTGAACCACACACACACACACACGCGCGCCCATGATCTGGGCTGTCCTCACATCCCCTGCTAAAAGTTCTCAACATTGTAGTGGGTTAAATTCGGACACCCAACCACCAAACCAACTTTAAAGCTGAGTATGGGTCAAAAGTCCAAACTAAACCACAAGGCGTAAAGTCCATGTGTCTATTTAGCAGGGCAAGCCATGTTGGGCTCACCCTATTTTTGACCCACAGCCAGCTAGAAAAGCTAAGTTGACTTGGATGGGGGCCACTGGTCACATCCCTGCCTCCAGAGCCAAGAAGGCGTCCAGGTCGATACCTTCCTGGCGACTCGGAGGCGATTCGAGTCGTCGATTCGCGCACCGAGTCCGGGTCCGAGCGAATTTTCGTGGTCGTTTTGCCGGGGAAACCAAGCCATGGGGTGAACATCGAAAGAAAGGCCCTGGTGGGGAAACCAAGAGGAAAGTGGGAAACCATTGGGGGTTTCAAGGGAAAGCGGGAAAACAAAGGCGTGAATAAAACTATGAAATCAAAAGGACAACCATTCTGTGTTTCAAAAAAAAAACACACTCAAAAAACCGTTTTAAAAAAGAAAAGAAAAGAACAAACGTTTGGGAAACACCCAATGGCTGTGTTTTGGGAACCATTTGGTGACTCTGGTTTCTTGGAGTCCTCATCATTGCTCCAAAGAAGTGAACCCTGGTCATTGCTGGGTTTTTCCCTTTCATTCCTGGCTCCGGAATGAACTTAGGGACAAAAATAGGTACCCTCCGGTGCACGTGCAACCCACCAGAGGGTCACGCTAGTGGATGGGAGAGTAATACTGAGTAGATGGACGAAATCCTGCACCACCTAAGAAACCATGAGAAACCACTGTTGGTATTTACAGGGAATCAGATCATTCATTCCAGCGCTTCTTGGGTGCGAGATGGATTTCGCGTCCATCCACAGGATGGGCATAGCGCGATCAATCAAAACACAGGCATCAGGACTCCCCAAGCAACGGACCGTCATTGGTGAGCTCGTCATTTGCCCAAACCAATCCCACGCATCGCCTGCTCCGGCTGCGGCTCTTCCTGACACAGAAATCGCGCAAACGGCCTAAAGCTTGTCCAGGGAAGTAGCTGGTGATATGTTCTTGATGTCAGGAAGACAAACCCAGGGTATCTTTCTTCAGGAATCGGCCCCCTCCCCCACCCCCCCCCCAAAAAAAAAGAAAAGAAAGAAAGGCACAAACAACAAACAACAAAAACTGATGGGTTGTCTTTTGGCTTCCCCTCAAAAAAGACAGATGCTATTTTACCTTTGACCCGTCGCTTCATTGCGGATTTCTTCAACCCGTGACCTTAAGACGACACCCAAATTGTTTGCCCCAGGCACTTGGCGCAGTCTTCCCATTAGGTGACGCACCCAGAAAGTGAAGCTTTGAGGACTGGTCATGATTGAGCAATCTGATTGGTCCAAAGGGTCAACAGGTGAAAATCGGATCTCGAACGAACATCCGGGGCTGTCCCTGCTTATGGCAAAGCTCGATGTCTGCCAGGTCCGATGGGCCCGAGACTGCTCGGTCTTCTGGCGCTCGAAAGGCATCCATGTCTGGTCGACGGAATGGGACGCAACGGCGACGGGTCTGGGTGTGGCGACCCAACCCCAGCCTTTTCTTCCTTCGCTGCCTGGAAACGGCAAAGGGCAAAGAGAGAGAACGGCCCGACGGCCGGACCCCAGCGAGACCCAAAGATCCCAACAGTTGTGCAAGGATTAGGGAAGGGTTCTTGTGATGCAGCTTGTCAAGGCCAACCCATTCCAGCTTTCCCCCCAACAAAACCGTCCCCCCCCGTACATGTTGGTTCCCGGGCTTTGGGCCAGAACTGTTTCAGACTGCGTTGTTTCGCGCTGGCAGCAATGAAAGCAAAACCGTGCCTTAGATATGTGTTTGGCTGGCGAATTCAGGAAGAGCATATCCTCGAGTCTGGAATGTCCAGGTCAAACGAAGGGCAGTTCCGTATTAAGTCACAAAGGCCGGGGTTCCAACTCTTCGTGCAATTAGAGTCTCCTGAGGGGCGCTTCAATACACAGAAGCTTGGCAAGCCAGCCAGAATGATCCGCTCAGCAAGCGGGGAACGTATATATTGGAACCTCCCACTTTTCCATTGGGGGTCATCCGGCAAAATCGAACTCGCTCATGGTTGAAAGCAGACGAGCCAGAAACACAAAACTCCAGGCAGGAGATGACAGCGCATCAACTCTTCATATTCTTCCCCCTTCATCATAATGGTATTCTGTCCGCCATCTTTTCAGGGACCCTTTTCTTTTCAGGAGAAACAAGAAAAACAGCCCAAACATCAGTGGTGCTTAATGGCTTCTCCAAAGGACTGATGGTATTAAATAACATGCTGGATACTCCATTGCAATCCTCTCATAAACCCCAAAGCCAGCCAGGTCATCACCCCAACGTGAGTACTCGGATGCCCAGTCGATTTCCATGGGAAAAGGGGCGACCTCTTTTTCTTTGGGTGAGCTTACAGGAATCAGAACCCTTACCCACAAAAAGGAAAACAGGGCACCACTGGGCAACAGAGAGTACTTTAGCCATAACTGCACTCAAAAAAGAATCCATGAAACGAGCAAGAATCTTTCTGAGGATCCCTTTTGGTGGCATTCAAAACGGCCCAGACCCTGCCGCTAAGGCTAAGGTGTCCTGGCAAAAGCTGATCCATCCCAGTGTGCCATGCATGGGTCGAGTGAGTACGACCCGTTGCGTTGTTCAAATCTGACTGAATGAAGTATTTTGGGCAGAATCAATCTGCAAATTTGACTACAAATCCAAAAGCTGAGTTAAGAATCGGATCCCAAAAAGGCCCATGATCATAGCTTCCGCTCTTTACACCCAGCTCATCGGTGGAACCGCTCGCTGGGCCTCGATCTTGTCCTCATAGGCCCAGCGGTTCCTGCCGCTGCACTCTCAGGCCCTCCCCCCCTTTCTGTGTTCAGTGGCTAAGGTAAAAGTGCGGAAGTTGTGGGGATGACTACTTGTGGATTTGGAATCCATCAAGCGACAAGGAAGAGAGTCCCAGAGCTGGCTTCAAGTCAGCTTTCCCTTTGGGGTGGCCTGGGCTCTGGGAGAGACGTGGGGGGGGCCAGGTTGCTTTTGCCGGGGTACCTCCAATCCTAATCACCGATTCAAACGTGGTGGCACTGAAACCGTTGCCCGTTGTTGGTGTACCCTACACACATCCAAGTGCTTCTGAAGTTCCGGGCGAGGGAATGAAAGGTGATATCGCCTGAGACCTCAACATCGGACAGGGAAACCCGAAACGAAAGGGTCCAATTTGCTTCTGGTGTGGCTTGTTTGTATTGTGCAACTGTGCAACTAGTGGATTGGGTGTTTTTGAACCGAACACTGGCTTTGAAGACAATAGACAGAGACCAACCACTTCACAGAACCTCAGACTACAGTATGCAAAGCTGGTCTTCCCCAAAAGTGACTAGAGTCCACGAACTCAGGAAGGTGAGACTACCACACCTGCAATGCCATCTGCGATTTCAATGCACTTCAGGGCAAGCTTTAAAGTTCACCTTGCTGGGGTTCCTCAGAGGTCCAAATTCGCGCCTTCGAACCAGCCACCAAACTTTGCGGAGAAAAACAAACACACCTCCCGCATCGCGCGCCACTCAGAGCGCCTTTTCGCAAACCCCCCTGGCCACGAGACAACTGAGGTCAAAATGGAGTGACCCACCCATTTGGTGGGTTTCCCTTTGGTTTCCCAAGCCAATTCAAAAAAGGGCACCGAGCCAAAAAACTAATCCCAAAATGGGTGTTTTCTTGGGTTTCCATAAGCCCTAAAAACGTTGCCAACCCAAAAAAAGAACCAGGAGGCGTCGCCAAGCTCGCCTCTCCGCGGCTTCTTGCAGCTTCGTGATCTCCTCAATATGGCTATCGGCGGAGCGAAGCCCTGTGGACTATACTGTACGCTCAAAGGCGAAGCTTCGCCTCTCTGCCAAGACCGAAGCCACACAAAAAAAGGGAAGCGCACATCACAATCATCTGGCCGTGTCTCGGCACAATCTACTTAAGGCCACGAGCAGCGGGTAGAGGTCATTCCAACTCGTTCCGTGAGACTCAGAAAGTACGAATTGAGGGCCAACGTCTTCGATGGCATCAAACCAAGCAAAAAATTGAGCTTTGGGAGCCTGTCGTGGTGTCTGGAATGGGACAGCCCTTGTTTAACAGGGATCCTTACATTATACACCTGAACATTGCCTTCTAAAATTGATGGTTGCCCTTTGTTTTGGTGGAAAAAGCCATGTTTCAAATGGGCAAAGTGTATCTTTTAAGGAGCCCTGTTTAAGACAAGCGATATTCACAAATGAGACAACCCTTAATGCTTTGTCAAACATGAAATGATATATATCATATCCAACCGCGATGGACGAGTGCCCAAATGTCTTGACATGCTGGGCCCAATCCAATCCCATGTCGTGATGTGGTGCTTAGCAAGGCGCAGAAACTTGTAGGCTTTGCCTGATCCGGAAAGACACAATCAACTCCAGCAGCTGTCAAGTGACGGTGGCATCCGTCAAAGGGTTGTTTGACAGGACATTCTGCAGGAAAACAGCTTGTTTGGGGTGTTTTGGGGCCATGTCCTGTAGAAATTGTCCTGTAACCAAACCCTTTGAATCCGTTCAACCGAAACCAATTCCCTAAGCCAACCACCGCGGCGCAGAAGCCAACGAATCGCTCTCACCCTGTGGGCACCAACCTGAGTTGGAAGGATCCCAAAGCCGACGCGACGTGCGACGCCAGTGATTCTCGCTTGAAGAAGTTGGCCACAGAAAGACACAAAACCTCTGCACCCCTTTTGGAAAACCCCCAAAATGAATAGAACCCTTGATACAATTGTGGAGGGGGTCCGTTCAAATGGGTTCCTTCACCTTTTGGGCGAAAGCCCAACTAGGTGAATCGCCGCGGGGTCATTCTGCGGTCCTCTGTCAGCTCCCCCTCGATGGCTTCGAAGAAGCCAGCCTGTGGAAAAAGACTCGGATGACGTGCGAGGAACATGATGGGTGGCAACGTGTATGTAAATTTGTCTGGTGCTCTGTCGGATGTTTCTAAAACTGATGGCCTGAACATTTGTGGACTTGCCAACTCATTTCACAAGTACCGGGAGACTCATGCTGACTCCCAACAAGCCCCAAACAACGATATAGAGAACAGAACCTATCCCCGCAAACGGTCAGAAGACTCTCCAACTACTGTAGAATGTGCTTGGGGCGAACAAGTGGGGCACCATGCGCTGAAACTAGTTGAATCATATCGCCCTCCTGGTTTTGTGCCAGGTACAGAATCAGGCGCTTGCAACACACATGCACGCGCTTCATGCATAGCATGTGCGCCATATTGTCCACGCAAACGATGGCGGTTGCGAAACCAAGAAAAAGCAAGTGGACGTCTGACCACGGTGGCTGTGCTCAAATCAGCTTCTGTGAACTGGATTGGTGCCGACCGACATGAAAGTAAACCAGCTGACCCGACCAATGGTGCCTCAAATGGCCCGGGCCAAGTGGGACATACTTTGGCTACGAGGCCATGGTCAGGACAAGGCAAATCACATTGAAAGCTCATTGGAATCCAGCCAAGCAACAAGAAGCAAGAGCAATCTTGCTGGTGCAATTGGTAGGGAATGAACAATCAGGAAATGAACCCAGGGGTACCCCTAAAGGAAACTGCAAGGGATGGTCGGTAAGGGTCATTCCCTCATTCCCTACCAATCGCACTAGCAAGCAATCTAAGGCGAGCGAGACTGGGCGGCCTCCTTTCGTCTCTTTTTTTGGTGCCAGGGCACTGGAGCGGTCAGTTGCGCAAGACCCCAACTACCAGCTTTCTACCCAAAGCCACCAGTAGATAGGTTCAAGGGAATTGACTCAAGGGAACTAACTCCCAGCTTCTTTGTTCTCACCGGCAAACTGTGTCAAAGCTCATGTGTAGGAACCAGTTCCCTTCGAGTACTAGGCGTTTGCAGCTGAGATTGAACACCCTGGCAAAAACAAAAAAACGATGCGTCTAGGAAGTAGTAGATGTTTTCTTCGAGTACTAAGCGTGTGTTGCTGATATCGAACACCCCAGCAAAAAAACAAAACCTGATTCCCCTTGCAATTGATGGTTTTTTTCCCTTTTTCTCGGTTTTTTGACCTTGCCCCTAGAAACCGCCAAACCCACACTGCCCCACCCCGCCACCGCCGTCGGGACTCACGGCCCTCGTTCGGTCGGTCGCTCGAATGGGGGCCCTCGCGCGGTGCTGAAGCGCCAAATGGCCCTCACAGAGCTTGGCCTCGAGCTCGGCACTCCGCGCTCGCGTCTCATAGCCCCCCCCCCCCCCCGCCCCCCCGGCCGACCCCGGCTTCGTTTGCTGTTTGGATGTAAAGGTAAGGGTACCTTCTGGTTGGTTTTGGTTTCTGGTTTTGGTTTTGGTTTGGTTTCGGCTTCATCTGGGTAAGGTACTCCTTTTTTGGTGGCTGTAAAGGGAAGCAAGAGGAAGACCCACCAGTTTATTGCTGGTTTCATAAGGGAATGAAAAATGGAATGAGCCCGACAAAAACCATCCCCGATTTGGGTTCCGTTAAGGGAAACCCCAAACCCGGTTCATTCATAACACCCGGAAGGGTCATTCCCTACCTAACGCACAAGCAAGTTTGCTCTTCGAACCGCGCTCTCTTGTATTTGCCAAATCTTGTGGATTCCCAATCCACTGGCCTTGCGATTTTAGCCTCAAAGTCGTTCCCCTTGGCGGTCCTATTGGAGAGGAACCCAAACTGACTTTGATACCTCTTGTAGAGTAGTTAAAAACAGCATGTCTGAATTCCAAACTCGCGGGTTGCGGGCCCGGAAGAAAGGATGTCAGGGGAGTGACCCAGAGTGTCACCACCCTGTGAATCCGTCAAGACAATTAGCGGGGGCAAGACAATTTTTACCGTGAAAGTTAATTTTTACCGTGGGTAGTTTTTTTACCGTTGCCGTTGCCGTTGCCGTTGCCGCGGAAAGTTAATTTTTTAACGGGGAAAGTGCCGCGGCTGCTGCCGTGGCTGTTTGCCAAGGTGCAGTAGTTTCGCAGTACTTCCTTCCAAACTACTGCGAAATTAGCTCCAGCGCAGTCGTTTCGCAGTAGTTAGTTCCAAACTACTGCGGAATTAGCTCCAGTGCAGTAGTTTCGCAGTAACTACTTCCAAAATAGCCGTTGCCGTTGCCGTTGCCGTTGCCGTTTTTGTTGCCGCGTTTTTTGCCGTTGCCGTTGCCGTTGCCGTGAAAAGTTAATTTTGCAAGTCAATTAAGAAGTCACTAATTGCCGCGAAATGGGAATTGCCGTGAAAGTTAATTTTTACCATGGGACTCTCTAATTGTCTTGACGGATTCGTTGGGCAGTCCTGGCTAGCGCGCGATTGCACTTCATTGTTTTCTCAAAATAGGGGACCAGGTTGGTTTCCCTTTCAAACCCTCCCAAAAGGGGTCCACCATTTTGAGAAACGCCTTCATGTGCAACCTAAGACCATCCCAGTTTGCGAAGTATGGCTTGGGCCTCCATTAGCCCTGGATTGCAAATTGTCGTTTGCGCGTTTCCTGAGCAGGGGACATAGACACATTACGTCTTGTTTCCCGTCGCATGTTCCATGGATCTTTGGGTGCTCGTAGAAGGCTGGATGGGCTTATCATGCTCCTCAGGAGCCGATAGCAGAAAAGATCGCGTGAGAGCGGACAGTGGTTCTGCCAAATTTGCCACGCGCCTTCTGCGCCATGCGCGACTGGAGCGATGGCTTAATTGCCCGGCACAAGTTTGGGCCATGGAAAACACAAGTGCTTTCTTCATCAGATCAACCACTTCAGTGGACCTGGGTGTGTGTTTTTTGAGGGTGGCCTTTTTTGAGTGTGTTTATTTCGGGAAACGTGAAGCCACCCATTTTGAAAAACCCTCCGTTGCTATGGAACCTGGCAGGTCTTTTAAGTTGAAATACCAGACTTCAAGTGATTCAAGAATGTCCAGTACTATGGCAGCGATGCAAGCGCGAGGATCCCCTTCACAGCCTTGAGCCAAATGATTGGCAAATGACAAAACTCACGCACCATACCCGGAGAGGAAGCTAAGAGGAACACGCCCCTTGAAAAGGTGGGTTTGTTAAACTCCCCCCTCTTGCAACTTGGGCAGGCGCAGGACGGGTCGCAGCGAAGGGTGGCTTCACCCCTTGCTAGAATGATTGCATCAACTTAGAAAGGCGACCAAAAGACAATTCTCGAATTAAAGACATGGATACGAATTAATGATCCAGGCAAAGGTGCCATCTCAAGTTGCTAGCTGATGCGCAAGAGCGGCAAAACAGCTTGTCAAGCGTCGAGATGCTGACGCAAAAGCCATGACGAAGCAAGGCACTCAACTGGGAACAACAAAGCTCACCATTAAATGCTGCACTGGTTTGTATGGCTAAGATATTCAAAGCCCATTGATGCATTTTGCAATCAACCATGTTTGTCTAAGATTTGGCAAATGCTCAAGCGCGGCATGCCCGGCCGCCTCATGTGCACAAGGACACCGGTTTAGGGCGCGAAGTCGCCCCCCCTGATTCCAAGCACACACAAGTTTCTTTACTGCAATGCAAACCAAGACACGAAAACTTCAACCTGGCAACAAGGGTGTCTAGCAGCGACCTGGTGAGAGCCAAGTAGTGTCATGCAATTCACTTCTCGTGAAACTGATTGAGTTCGCTTCATGGTGTGAGGCGCTCAAAGCTAGCCAAACACGGCAGGGGCGGGTGAAGTGTTCATTCAGGCTTTGATTGTTGCGGACAACCCCCAACATCAATCAAGTCCAGGGCAGCGCCCCACTTCTGAGGGCCGAGCGCCTTCGTCAAGATATTTCCCTTTTGCTCGGTTGTCACAATGTAATCTGATTCGTAATTGGGGTTTTCAAATGCTTCTGACAATAAGGCGATGTTGATCTTGTGAGTCTTTTGCAAGTGTCTCAATTTGGAAGAAAATCCTTTCGATACAATCGCAAGGACAGCTTGACTATCTTCCCAGCACTTCACAAGAATCTCACGGCCAAAGAGGTGGCTGCAAGCGATCTCCAAGGGCATCACATCATTCTACACGGCGGTGGCCAAAGCTACTGTTTCGGATTCAGTCGTGGATCGGCTGGTGACAGTTTGCCTTCGGCTTACCCACGCAAGAGGAAGGAAAGAGTTTTCGGCTTCAAGCGCAACGAAGTAACCCGAACAACTCCTCATGGTGCTTACACAGTCACCAAAACTCGCGTCTACCCAACAGGACAGTCACAAGTTATCCAGAGGGTCACGCATGAAGGAGTGCAAGGCATAAGTCGTGGTTCTCGAGCAACAAAGCTGCAGCCTCTGGACGCTTTGCAAATGCTGCGCAAGTAAGCGCTGAAAACGCTTTGCGAACAAAGGTTGGGGCGCTTGGGCACAATCCTGCGCCTACTCGTGCTCTTCTGTGCGCTTTGGGGCCACTGGCAAATATTAGCGAGATCATTTGCGGGTTGCCCAAATTATTGTTCCCGGAAACAGCCCGTGCGCCGAAATTATTGATTTTGCCCCTTGCCTTTCAAAATCCTGGTTGCCGGTGGCAAACTTCTAGCGCGCTGAATCAGCTTGATCTTCCCCTTTGCCTTTCAAAATCCTGGTTGCTGGTGGCAAACTCCTAGCGCAATGAGTCAGCTTGACTTTACCCCTTGCCTTCAAAATCCTCGTCGCCGGTGGCAAACTTCTAGCGCGCTAAATCGGCTTGATCTTCCCCTTTGCCTTTCAAAATCCTGGGCGCCGGTGGCAAACTTCTAGTGCGCTGAATCAGCTGGATTTTCCTGATTAAGCCGGCGACTGCCGTCTCGCATGGGGTAAATTCGAAAAGGATCCTGTTGTTAAATGCTGACTAGGCAAGTACAAATTGGCAACACCGCCCTCCGAGCTCATTCGACGTGATTGGGGTCACAGGGCCATGGGGTTCTTGGCAACCTCCCAGACAAGATCAGGAGCAGCTGCAACTTGAGAAGATGCAGTTACAACATAACCCAACTGGACGGATGAGCTCTAGGGCACTTCCCTCCGAAGTGATTCGGCGCGACGAAGCTCACAGGGGGGTCAACCTCCAGGGTGCGACACTAGTCAGGCAAAAACTCGGGAGAGGGCCTAACACTCTTGCTTCCCAATTGGGCAGCGGCCGAAACTTTCTGTGGATTGCTTCAAGTGGGAGGGTTCTTCGCCGCTGCTTTCGCTATGCTTCGCAGTGTGCGTTTTGGCTTCCGCGGGGCTTACTTTGACCTTAAACCCATTCGCGCGCTTTTGCGGGTCAGTCTTCCGACAAAGTGTTGACGATGAGCTTCCAGGCTCAAGTTCTTTTAACTACTTCATAAGCCGAATAAAAGAACAAAACCGTCTTGTGTGTCTTGACACGCGGATGCCTTACGAATAACGGAAGCCAGTTGCGAGAACCACTTGCTTGTCACTCACGCGCTACCTGGCGGACGTAACCCGGCGCGCCGGGTGGCAAAAAGTGCGGGTGCGGCGTCCACGAATTCATTGTGATATCTCAGAACCTGACATCGCCTTTACGCGCCGCTTGCTTGGCATAACCCGGCGCGCCGGGCGACGCACTTAGTCATACGAGCGTGTGTTCGTAGCCGGGCTGCGCGGGACCAGCGCGATGAGCTTGCAGGCTCAAGTTCTTTTCACTACTTCGTAAGCCGAAACAAGGAACAAACCGCCTTGCGCGTCTTCGCACGGGGATGCCATCCGAATGGTAGAAACCAGTTGCAAGAAAAGCTTGCTTGTCATTCACGCGCTACCTTGCAGACGTAAACCCGGCGTGCTGGGCGCCGAAAAGCGCCGATGTGGTGTCCACGAATTCATTGTGATACCTAAGCATCTGACATGGCCTTTGCGCGCCGCTTGCTTGGCATAACCCGGCGCGCCGGGCGACGCACCACGCCTAGTCGGAACGCAGCATAAACACTTAGTCATGCGAGCGTGTGTTCGTAGCCGGGCTGTGCGGGACAAGCGCCATGAGCTTGCAGGCTCAGGTTCTTTTAACTACTTCGTAAGCCGAATACAAGAACAAAACAGCCTTGCGCGTCTTCACACGCGGATGCCAAACGAATGATGGAAACCAGTTGCAAGAACTCACTCACGCGTTACCAGCCGGACGTAAACCCGGCGCGCCGGGTGCCGAAGAGTGCGGATGTGGCGTCCACGAATTCATTGTGATATCAAAGCGTCTGACATCGATTTCTACGCGCCGCTTGCTTGGCATAACCCGGCACGTCGGGCGACGCACAACGCCTAGTCTGAACGCAGCATAAACACTTAGTCACGCCAGCGTGTGTTCGTAGCCGGGCTGTGCGGGACAAGCACGATAAGCTTTCAGGTTCAAGTTTTTTAACTACTTCAAAAGCCGGATAAAAGAACAAAACAGCTTTGCGCGTCTTCACACGCGTATGCCATCCGAATGATGGGAGCCAGCTGCAAGAACCATTTGCTTGTCACTCAAGCGCTATCTCAGACGTACCCGGCGCGCCGGGCAACGCAAAGTGTGGCTCTGGCGTGACCACAAAGGCAATGTGTTGTCTCAACTGACGTCGACCGAATGCGCTGCATTCCTGGCGCTCGAAGTCGTCTGGGCGCTGCGCGACGGACGTAACCCGGCGCGCCGGGCGACACGCAATGCCTAGTCTGCGCAGCCCAACGTTAATATTCACGGCCGGGCTGCGCGGGAAACGCGCGACTAGCTTTCAGGCACCTGTTCTTTTAGCAGCTCCACAAAACAAATAAATCAACAAACGTTGTCTTGATCATGCGGCTGCCATCCAAGCGAGGGAAGCCTACTGCCACTGCGCGAGCCACTACTGGGACGGATGTAAATGCAACGCGCGCGCCTGACGTCTATCAAGACACTGCTATCTAAGCACCTACGCGCGGGTTGCTTGGCGCTCGCGCGCTACTTGACAGAGTAACCCGGCACGCCGGGCGACGCGCGACGTCTAGTCTGAACGCAGCGTGAACACTTAGTCACGCGAGCGTGTGTTCGATGAGCTTCCAGGCTCAAGTTCTTTGTAATTGCTTCATAAAGCGAATAAATAAACAAACCGTGTTGCATTTCTGGAAACGCGGACGCCATCCGAATGATGGAAGCCAAGTACACGAACCGCTTGCTTGGCGCTCGCGCGCTACTTAACGGACGTAACCCAGCGCGCTGGGCGACGCAGAGTGCGGATCAGGCGTCCACGAAGACATTGTGATATCCAAGCGTCTGACATCGATGTTACGCACCGCTAGCTGGGCGCTCGTGCTCTGCGTGACAGATATAACCCGGCGCGCCGGGCAACACAACGCAGTCTGAACACTCAGTCATGCGAGCGCGCGTTCACGGCCGGGCTGTGCTGGACAAGCACGACGAGCTTCCAGGCTCAAGTTCTTTTAGCTACTTCGTAGACCGAATCAAAGAACAAAACCGTCTTGTGTGTCTTGACACGCGGATGCCATCCGAATGATGGAAGCCAGCTGCGAGAACGAATTGCCTCTCACTCACGCGCTATTTCGGATGTAAACCGGCGCGCCGGGCAACACAAAGTGTGGCTCTGGCGTGACCACAAAGACAATGTGTTGTCTTAGCTGACGTCGAATCGACACGCCGCATGCCTGGCGCTCAACGGCGTCTGGGCGCTACAAGTATTTCTATCCTTGGTGTTGCTCTACAACGCACTGTCGAGAAGATCTGAGGCTGCTGCCCAATCCAAGCTGCGAAAACCCACCGCCCACCCCCCCCCCCCAAGTTCGGGCCGGCGCAGCGCGGCGGCCCAAAATGGCATGGCAAACTCTGACTTTGAACAATTGGTAAATGAACCAAAATTGCGAGGCCAGATCCATGTAAGTAAGATTTACCAACATGTCACCCATTTGGAGAGTACATGCGGGTAAATATTCCATACATGGAGTGTGCCGAATTGCTACTTAATGTATTGCATCATTCATTGAACATCACTGTTCTGTGTTGTTTGATGGCGGCCCCCCTCTACTTGGTTGCCCCCCTCTACTTGGTGGCATGGGTTGGTGGTTTGGAGCTGTGGAGGTTGGGTGATTTCCCATTTACTCTCTACAAGAACCACCGGTTCAAGTCCCCAAACCAAATTCAGACCCCCAACTACGGGCTACCTGATTTTTGATGCCCAAGCTGACCTTGTCATTGAAACCCCACGCACACATGGGAATGCTTGACCAAACAGGAAATGTAGCAGAACACCCCGCCCCCTGCTCCCCCGCCCCCGTTTTGGCATGGTTTCACAACCACAACGAGGACGATCCCACCATCGCCACAGAAGCATCTGCCAAGGTGTACTGCCGGGGCAGTCGGCAATCTTACTGTGTCATCAACCTCCTAGTGAACATCACACTTTGAGCACAGGAAAACGCGGCTTGTTCGATACCTTTCTCGACGCAATAGAATCAGGTGCAAACACGTTTAGACTTAATCTGCGATATATGTTGGCCGAATGCCAGCATCGACTACGAGTTATAGCCAATGTTGGAAATCAGCAGCTATTATTTGCATATGGCTGAAGTGTGGAATTGTAATTGCAGACTTGCCGCATGTTGACGGTGGGATGCAAGCCAAATACAACAAAGGGAAGCCAAGTTACCTAAAACATCCCAGCTGAGCAATAGTGGTGTGCGCCCGAATCATGAACCACGCCCACTCTCCAATATACACACTCACCACAGCTCCTGAGTTGTTTCCCCAAGAAACCACATTTATGAGATCTCCTGATGCTAGGTGCTTCCCACAAAGTTGATGAGCCAGACACAGAAGCCCTGCAAAGCACAACAGTTGTGAAGACATACCCTATCAGCAAGAATCTATGACGCAGCCTTGCGCTTCTTGGTTTCCTGATGTCCCCTTCCAGCGGTCACCAATCCAGCCGTCTCTATGGGAAGACTCGGCTGAGCGCCGGCCTCTTCGCTGTCCCACATGTCCTCCACCTGCAAATTCGGCCGCTTCGCGGCAGGCACTTGGCACGTTCCCTTGAAGCTGCAGGGAGCAAACGCCCAAAAAAAAAAACGGCTGCAACAGTTTGGTTTTTTTGTCTGTGACTTGGTTAGAAGGAAGCGGAGTCTCTTCGTTCAGCATTCCCACACGATCCACCTGGGTTCTATTTGACCCATTTGGAGAGTAAATGTGGGTAAATATTCTGTACATGGAGTGTGTGGGATTGCTCAGTATTTGTGCATCGATTAATTGGGTATTTCCCAAAAAGTGCCACAAAACCTCTTAGAGGCTTTGCCAAATGCGGGCGGCAACAAGGCTAAAGGTGCGCGTGCAAATGCCAGAAATGGTTTCACTAGACTTGCGACCTGTGTTGACCCGGATTATCCCTGTTTATTAAATAGTGCGGGTGTGTTCCCCTCCAAAAGTGATGAACCCCACTACTTCCAGGGACACCCCAATATCAGTTTATCAATCCGTGTCAACATTAGCTCGACTTCATGCCGGCGCTAATGACAAGATCATCGGAGGCTTAGGCTGTTGCATCTGGCGGTAAAGTTTACCTGGCAGAAAAGTCTTCGACAAATGGACGAATGTGTTGACAATACTTTCGGCCCGGGGCGAGCATCGTTGCACGCTACCAGATGTTGACTAGATACTTGAGAATCGCAAATTGCTTGCTTGATGCGCCTGCACGTCGGTGCAATGTAAGGCAATCAAACGCTGGAAATGAGTGCGCTTGATGCAGGTGATGACAAGTCGACTGGGTCAATACAGACAGGGTCAAGGTCAATAACGATGTCTTCAAGCCGAGCATCGGGGCCTGCCTGCTTCATCAACACCTCCTCATCCAGCTTAGTGTTGATGTCCTGACAATCATGCCAGGCTGGATCTGTACTTTTGCCCTTCAAACATTGCTTTCCAAGCGGCAGAAGTGAACACACAAAAGACAGGACTCAAACTGCCCATGAAAGCCAACCAGCCAGTTTCTGCCCAGCATCCACAGAGCCTGTGGGGTTCACTCCCTAAAATGAAACCTAAACTGTGATTCCTAGATACCCCCGCCTTCAGGGGGGAGGGGGTGGGGGGGGGGTCCTGCACTTCCATGTCTAGTCTTCAAGGGAAAATAAAACCATAGATGGGTAACCCCCATGCCCCAATTCCATTTCTATCGAAGTTGGGATATTCCTAGAGAAAGCTCCTGAAAGGGGGGAAACCAGAGCCGCCACTTTTGGGATGTGTACCGCCGACCAGTCTCGCTGGCCATTGTCAAGCTGGTCTCAAAACGCTTGCTCCACACGCGAAAGGGTTGGTTTCTTTCTGGCTCCTAACACCTAGCCTCAAACAGGCGAGTGCCCGGAATGGGGCGCGGGCACTGACCCATTCTTCTCTGAAATGGCTGGCAAACTTTCCCGGGCGTCTTGGAGTGTAAGTCAAAGAAACTGAGGCTGGAGGCACCCCAGACGCCGCAGGCTGGGTGCAAATCCTGTAACACACGAACATACAAATACACACCCAACACACAAGCGCACCAGCCCTCACACCTGAAACACGAGGTACACACGGTTCAGTCAGGGAAGCGCATGCACCCTGGTCAATTTGAACAGCAGTGCCAAGTAGAATCCGTGAAACGCACAGAAGCCGCCACAAACGTCTGAAACTTGGGTGCTGATGATAGCGCAAAACTGTGGGCAACTCTGCAGCCTGGTTGGAATCAATGAACTTCAAGCGGACGGTTAGCGGTTGAATTGGGGGATGTGCGAGAAACATCTAGAAAGTTGCCTAGAGGTCTGCGGAAGGGTGGGGGGGAGGTGTTCCAAGCAATCCCCCAAAACCCTGCCAACCATTTCATCAACTGCTTCAAGGGGCTGATCCTCTAGAATAGAGTCGTGGGGAATAGGAAAACCCCATCGGGTCATGATCAAACATACTTTGCCAAATATGTGTGTGTGTCCTGGTTTAGCTCCAAATAATTAAGGAGGTGTAAAGCTACGCCTGTCTCCCGATGTAAAGCTCGTCCACATCATGAATGCAACTTGCGGCTGCGTCTTGTCGTAAATTGTCTGTACAACAATACAAACAACCAGAAGCTTTGCCACTCTGCTTTCGTGCTCCTGACTTCCACAAGCCCTCTCACCTCTGCCTTCACCATAACAACATCTTCAATGTGCCAGAGTGCTTGCGGCCATAGCTTCCCGATGCTTTCCACACATCCGTCTTGCTACAGAGGCGTGGCCCATTTATCGCAACCACGTCACCCACACACAGGCTTGCGCTCACCATACCCGCCGGCTCCTGGTTGGCCATCTTCTTTGCCCCGCCCGTCCTAGAGGAAGAACACGTGGGACAAAACTGAGATTGACATGGGTGTTAAAATTTTGAGGGTACCTTTTTGGGGGTGGTATTAAGGGAAACCAAAAGCTATTCAGGAGAGAAATCCAACATCGATATCATCCGGACAGTTGGCGACCATGAATGATCCCAAGGACATCAGAATCTCTGCTCAAGCTCATGTCGTGCCAACACGAAAGCAAACTGCTTCCCCATTGATTTTGGAGGCGAAACAAACAACAAAGACTAGCAGCAGGCATCATTTTGTTCACTATGTGCTGACCTCAAAGGGAGCTGCCTTTCAAACAATCAAATTGTGGTTCTGTTGACTTGAACTGTGTAGGTAAAGAGTGATTGAACATGAACATTGCAAGTTGTTTTCCAATCAAATCAAAGGAAAGGCACACAGGCGTGAAGCGATACTTCAAGTACATATGCTAGTTACGGTCAATCATGGTGATAAATTTGAATGCTGTGTCTTCTGCCCTTGCCATATACCGTGTCTCACAAAGGAATTGAATGCCGTTGATGGTGTTGCCGGAATCCAGCATATTCTGTGTCGTGTACCCACTAAACTCCCGCTATGGACCGAGACAAAACCAATTTCAGTGTACTCGTAGGCGACAAATCAACAAAGCGTGCCCCACGTAAATCCTGGCAGCGAGTAGACAAATCGCAATAACAAAAAGAAGACAAACAAACAAACAAGCAAACAAAAACAAACACCAAAAGAACAAGCAAAGAAAGGCTCGGCAGGCAGGCAGGCAGGCAGGCGGGCAGGCAGCCAGACAAGCAGACAGACAAACATACATGCATGTGCACATGAATAAGCAAAGCAGCAAAGCACTGAATCAACACTAATACTATAACCAACTCGATGAGACTGACCCCACATTCAAGAATACACACACAGGCACACAAAGACACCGCACACATCCAAGCAACCACTGCATGTCACTGAGCCATGAAACAAAACCACGAAATAGCAAACAGCCCCAATCACAACAAACATCATGCAAACAAACCCAGAAAAAAAAGAAGAACCACACCACAAACAATAAACATCATACAAACAAACCCAGCAAACATAGAAGAACCCAACCCCAAACAACAAACATCATGCAAACAAAATGTATGAAAACAACACACCAAATCCATAGGTCAAGCGTTGGATTTCAGTTGCGGCAACTTCCTGTCCTGAGATCCTTAAGGAACTTGAACTTCAGGGACCTGGCGCCGGTTTTCTTTCCGCTTTTGGTCGGGGCCAAGCGGAGGTTCTCTCACCTTTTTTTGCTGTGAAATCGGCAGTGTATGAGGTAATATTTCCCCTACCTTAGGGAGGGGGTAGGGGGTCCCCCGATTCCATTTATCTAGTCTTCCCCATGAAAGGGAAAATGGAACTATTAATGGAATTACAGGCGTCACCCCCCTCCCCCAATTCCATTTTTAAGGGGGCGGGGATGAGGTAATGACCCTTAAAAATACAATCCAACTGGTGGTTTCCTTCGAGTGGACTGGCTTCAATGTCACATTCTCTACTGAGCACCTGCAAGTGTTGAAAGGACTTGGAACTTCGAGGGATCAGCTATTGGGGCCTTTGCTCGTGGAAAGGGAAAACCCGAAAGGACAAAAAAGGCCTTTGCTTTGGACAACCGACTCCCCCAGTCTTGCTGGTGGCGAGAGGGCTTGTGTGTCAAGCAGGCTACCCCCTGCATACACGTGGAACCCCAGAAGAAATACCCCTCGGGCGATTCCTCCAAGGGTTCTTTTGTGTAGGTTTGGCCTCATTATTTTACCATAGTGGTGGGTTAAAGGGAAACTACCCCATTTTCTGACTTTGATAACCCCTAGAAACCGTCAAAATAATGACCCCAGTAGGTTCCGTGCTGATCTACAGGGTGACTGAGTGGGGCAAACTCACCTGAACTTATGGGGAGAGCTGTCCCCAATGCACGACAAAAGCATGATGGTGTTGCAAGCAGCCAATCAGCCATCTCATCTATGTGCCTTACGCCGACGTTTCCCACCAGCTAGATGAGCAAGAATGCGTGAACTTGTGCATTGGGAGCTGCGAACCACTCTCACGCCAAAAATGGACCAATCTATGGCCTTTCCCATCCAAAGTCAAATCATCCTGTGCATTCCAGCTGCATTTTGGGGCGCTGGGGACTTGGAAGCGATCACACTTCAGGCACTGAGGGCAGGTTTCAAGCATCTAGTTCAGGCCCTTGGATTGGCCTTTACCTTCATGTTGTCAAAGCTTACCGCTGGGCGTGCCTTTGTTTGGGGCACCCCCAAAAACAAAAAGTGGCAGGTGTCCTTTTGGTTTCCCTTTAAAACCAACCAAAAAGGGTATCCTCCAAACAAGACGAGCCAGGTCTCACTGGCGTGTTCACGTTGCCCTTGGTCGGCTCAGGTATGAAAGGAGGCGAAAGGGAAACGACCCGAACACCCATTGGAAACAAGCTGCTGACATGGAAGCAACCCAACCAGGTGAGCCATGGTTGTGGTTATGAACATTGTGGGAATGGCCCATGTTGACTCGTGGACTTAACGTCCTGCACAAGCTGGTAGGTGGTTTACCCCCGCATTCCTAGGGTTCCATGCATCCCAACTGATACAAGATATGGTTCATGCACAGTATCACAGAAACTCCACACATTGGACGGATCCCTTTTCTTCCATTTGGTTAAGACCCCTGGAAAAAGGAAAAACACAAATATTTCCAGAAGCGATAGATTCCCTTTAAAATCAGGGGAAACTAAATAAATTAGAAAAACACAAAACAAACATACTGATTTCAGCTGAATGAAAGCTGATGTCCCGGGTGCCGAGTGCTATGCAGAAACTCCAGCTGCTCGCTCATGCAGAAAACCAACAGGGGAAAATAAACAAATATTCATTTCAGCCAATGGAAGATAAACAAAGGTTGGTGAAAATCAAGGGTCAATAATACCCAACCACCCAGGGTAAAAATATATTATTCAGCAAATGGATGTTTTTGACACTACGCCTGATGTGCTCCACAAACTTCTCACGCTGCTCGCCGATCTCTTTTGCCGTCTGCTTGGCATTGGCGACCAGCGCCTAAGCGAAAGAGAGCAACGAGAAGCCCCGTTTCAGGTACACCAGGGTGAAAGAAGTAGGAGGTGGAGCAGGAGTAGCAGCAGCAGGAGTAGTACTAGCTGTAGAAGCTAGTAGCAGCAGCAGTAGCAGCAGCAGTAGCAGTAGTCGTAGTAGTAGTAGCAGGAGTAGCAGCAGTACGATTTCCTATTTCTGACAAAAAAAGACGACAAAGCCGAAATGGAGAGTGTCACCTTTCACTCGACTTTGTAGCTGGCGGCCCTGGGCGTGAAGCTCGGGATCTTCCAGTGCGGACTCCCAAAAAGGCGACCCCCTCTAAAACGGATTGATCTTCCCGGGTTTCAGTCTTAATCTGTAGAGGATTAATTACCGATGTGAAGGACAGTCCCAATCTCGAGCTGCTTCAAGCTGAGCACCTGAGGCTTCCTGTCTGAAGGAAGGTCCTCATTGATGGCCATAAGTGCATATATGCCTGTGCTTGGGCTAGGGAACCTCCTTGGTCAGCCTCCCAGCTCCAACCATTTGGTGATGTCAAGACGGAGGGTGGCAAGCTGCCCTGCATTGCCCTGCTATGAACATGCGTGTCACGCCGGCGTATGCATACCTGCTTACATATTATGGCTGTGGGCCAAAACCAATGGTACCATTTTGGGGTAGGTGCACCACCCATTTTGGTCTATTTTAGTGGGGGATTGGGATGTTCACTGGGGGCACGGGATTTTGACCCATGCTCATATGATGTAACTTATGCATGGAGATATCCCGTCTCACGACTCATAACCTTGATTTCCCGCGCAAACCCTTGGAGCAAGAGCGGCCGACTTGGACGACCCCTAGGCAAGTATCCCTTGTCACAGGCAATAACTACTCCCTTTAACATTGCATTGACGTATATCAAACCCCTTCCGCGAAACCTTCCGCGATGTGAAGGGTACCTTCCGCGAGCATGCTTATATAAGTTTATATAAGTGCTTCCGCGTACCTTCCGCAGGCAAGCTTCTTCTGGAAACTGCGGAAGGTAGCTTCCGCGAGGAATTCGTGTCCGCAGTTTGCTAGTAAACGTGCTTGGCAATAACCACCCAAGAAAAATCAAAATACTAAGCGCAAATCAACAACGTCACTTCAGCGGAAAAAGAAATTCCTTCTCCGCGGCTGCAGTGTGGCATAGTGTGGCGCTACTTTGTTTGTTGAAACTCTCAGTGAGATTCCTCTCACCCAAAAGAGCTGCCCAAAACGTCAAAACTTCTTTTGCCACTAAAGAAGTCTGGCCAAGAGCAGCAAGTCCAGCACCAGCCACTGAGCTGAACCACTTTGCGTTGCTGGGATGTCGCGCCAAGTACTGGGGCAGTTCCTCCAGCAAGGGCTGCATCTCTTCCTGCATCTGCCTGCTCAGTGCCAGCTGGGCTCGTTCGAGGTGACTCATTTTAGGATGGGTTTTACATGGGAACAAAAGGACTACTGTGGGTGGGCAAAATCCGGCACTACATTGAACATATGGGCAGCCATTTGTTGTTGGTATTTACCGGGGAATCATGATTCCACGATTTTCTTAGGTGGTGCAGGATTTCGTCCATCCACAGAAGTTTGAGACAAGCCCATCTACTCCCCTTCACAGAGAACCACATGTAATCGCTACACAAATTTGTGGCATATCTAAAGGGCAGCAGTTCTGTTCAGCAGGTTCGGAGGAATGCCAATGTTCCCCAAAATAGGCAGGGGAGGGGATGGGGTGTCTGAAAACTCAGCGACATGTTCGGGGACTCGATGCACCCAGCGTATTCTTTTCTTACGGTCTACCCGGCCTCGCCATCTCTTGGTTCCCACAGCTGCTTTCAGCTGCGGGGCCCGCTGGATTGTTGAACGTGACAAGTTGGTAGGCCATGCTGAACTGTGCACAAGGCTCACTCGCAGCCACTTATCCCTAACACAGCTTGCGGTGGCTACACTTTCCACGTGTTTGGACACATTGCCAGGCACAGACACTGCACAAATTACCGTCCAAAAGAAGACAGACCCATATCCTCGACCCGGAGAACAGGTATCCCTTGTTGGTCCTTAGGAACGCAAGTTGGGCTGACTGGTGGCGGAATGGCTTGGACGCTGTGCCCACCATCCGACATTTTCAGGGAGCCCCTGATTGCGTGCTTTTTTTAGGGGACCCCCCAGATGTTCCAATGGGTGGTGTTCCTTTTGGTTTCCTTTTACCGAAGCAAAGGGGGACCCCGAAAAAGTGGCAGCAATTCACCAAATCTGAACTGCATACCTGACATCCGAGTCGCACCTGCATCGCTGGTAGAGCCCGGCTTTGATGGCCGGCGCCTAGCAAAACAAAACTGAAAGGGCGAAAAGCCTTGAAAGCGCAAAGGTGGCGGTGTTGCATGTTTCAAAAAAGAAACAGCCAAAACAAAGTCTTTGGGTAGGACCATACATGTTTTTCGTTTTTAACACGTCTTTGGGTAGGACCGCAAAGGAAATCCACCTCTCACAAACAAAATGAAGGGAAAACCCTGCGGACACATCCAGATCCCAATGCCAGGGTTAAATTGGCAATTGGCATGCCGAGTGGAGTGCACTTATGCTCACCTCTCCGGCTGTCAGCCTAGCAGGCAACATAGAAGAATCGTTTAATGTTGACCCCGAATGAATAAACCCCTGTTTATTAATATGGGGGTGCTTTTCCTGGTTTTAGTGGGAATCAGACCACTTTTGGAGGGGAACACCCCCATATAAACAGGGGTTGATTCATCCGAGGCCAACATTACCACAATCTCCCTCTGGCACGCTTACACATGCCTGCATTCACTTGAGCCGGCCTGGTCGCTTTGCCACGGCAAAAGGAATTTTCGGGGCGGAGGTGCTGCTTCACGTGTTTTCATCCAAATTGAGGCACGAAATCCAAACCGCCTTCCATTTGGTTAAGACCAATGGAGAAAAAAAAGAAGTAATTTTCCAGTAGTGATAGATTCCCTTTAAAACTAACAGGGAAAAAACAATATTATTCAGCAAATGAAAGTCACGGATGCTATATTTGTTCAACACGGGTTGGCTTTCAGAGGCGCTGGACACGAGCACGGCACCCAAACACGCCGCGCTTTTTCAAAGCCGCTTCGACCTCTCCATGGGCGCCACGTGTCAGGTATGAGCCATGAGATGATGGGTATGAGTGTTGAGATCATGAGTCTATGAGTGTTCCACTTTGTCACTTTGTCAGCAATTTTTCTTGCAAAACTGCCATGCTTGCTCGTTTGCTTGCCCGCTCGCTGGCTAGCTGCTCTCGCACTTGCTCGCTCGCCCGTTGGTTTGTATGTTTGTTTGTTTCGTTGGTCGTTCTTTTTCTAGAGTGTTTGGCTTGGATTCGTCTTGCTTTGCTTTGTAATTATACAGTGTATTGTGTTGCGTTGCCTTGTTGTTTGCTTGCTGCCTTGCTCCTTGTTTCAATGTATGTTTACTTGTCTGTTTGTCAGTCTGTCTGTCTGTCTGCCTGCCTGCCTGCCTTCCTTTCTGTCTGTGTCTCTTCCTGTTTGTGCTTCAGTAGTTCGACTTTGGTTGTTTTGTTGGCTGGCTGGTTGATGGGTTTGTTGTTCGGTTGGGTCGTTGGCTCGTTGCTTCGTTGGTTCGTTCGTTGTTTGGTTGGTTGTGTGGCTTTCTTATCTACCAATCTCTTCATGTACCTCGTTTCGTGTCGTTTCCATGTGCTTTTTGCCGCTTTCTCTATGCCAAAAGGCGAGCAAAGACCTCCCGCGAGCACTCCCCCCACCTGCTCCACCTCGAAGGGCGGCATAGGCGCTACCAGCGGTGGCTCCACCTATCCGCGACAAATAGGCGAGCCCCAGCCCTAGGTGACAAGGTCTACAAACCGGCAAAAGCCGGAAAAATCACAGCTAGGGCGTACTGCAAGTGTTTGTTGGAGCATCTACCTGCAGTGGGCCTGGTCTCAACCATGTTTGCATGCTCTGACAGAAAGGGAATTGACCATGGGTAGGTGTTCTCAGTTAGTGGTGAAAGTCATCTTTTTCGGTGGTTTGCCTCATGGTCCCCTCAGGTAAGGGACCTTTTGATGAGCCCCCATGTGCTACTGCCACACACAATTGATGCTAGGTGGAAACTATAGTGCGTCTGTTTTTCTTGACTCAGTTTGACAGTGTGAGTCGGAGGAGTCTCTCATTCAGCGGCAGACATGCTCACCAACAAGAACGCAGACTTCCAGCGTCGCCATCCATGGGATGAAGACATGTGTGGTTCCCGTGAAAGGGCTGCTGCTCGAGTGCTGTTGCTCCCGCAGGTCTCATAGAAGTGAGCTTGCTCTGCTTGAACAAATGCGAAGAACAGCTACTAAACAAGTTAGTCAAATTGAATATGCCAGCCAAAGGTTGACTAATTGACGTTTGCAACGCTTGGAGTCTCCGGAAGCAACAACCACATGATGTATAATGCTCACCCCCCAACTAACAAACATCAAATGGACGTGCAAACAATACGGGGCTAACGCATCATTAAATGGGCGTGTCTTTTAACCCACCCGACAGGAAGGGTTGTTAGATTTTATGTTGGAATCCGCGTTTGCGATGCTTCTACACCACGCCCCCACCCAGTATCCCGCCAGAGCGGCTCGCGGGTGGATCCCGCCAAGTATCCCGCCAGAGCGGCTCGCCAGTGGATCCCGCCGAGTATCCCGCAAGAGCGGCTCGCCAGTGGATCCCGCCGAGTATCCCGCCAGAGCAGCTGGCCAGTGGATCCCGCCCAGTATCCCGCCAGAGCCCAGTGGATCCCGCCCAGTATCCCGCTAGAGTAGCTGGCCAGTGGATCCCGCCCAGAAATCCCGCCGAGTATCCCACCAGAGCAGCCCGCCAGTGATCCCGCCAAGTATCTCGCTGAGTATCCCAGAGTAACTCGCCGGTGGAGTATCCCGCCAGCCAGTGGATCCCGCCGAGTATCCCACCAGAGCAGCTTGCCAGTGGAATCCGGCGAGTATCCCGCGGAGTATCCCATAGTAGCTCGCCAATGAATCCCGCTGACGCCAAAGTATCTCGCCAGTGGATCCCGCCGAGTATCCCACCCGAGCAGCTGGCCAGTGGATCCCGCCCAGTATCCCGCCAGAGCAGCTCGCCAGTGGATCGCGCCGAGTATCCCGCTGAGTTTTTTTGCTGGTGGATCCTGCCGAGTATCCGGCCAGTATCGAGCCAGAGCGGCTCGCCAGCATTCGCCAGTGGATCCCGCCAGTATCTCTCCAGAGCAGCTTGCCAGTCTGGTTTTGCTTAATGTCCCGCCCGCGCACAAATGGGTTTACATTTCATGTTGGTGCCTGCGCATGTGCTCTGCAGAGCGCGGGGCTGGCGGTGGCTTCTGCAGATGCATAACCCTGGTGCCTTGCCGCCGTGATCGGCCATGTGCAAGTAGTTCCCCACCCGACAGGAAGGGGTTGTTAGATTTCCACGAATGTAGAATCCACGCTTGCGATGCTGCTACACAACACCCTCCTGCCAGAGAGGATCCCGCCAGAGAGGATGCCAGTGGATCCCGCCCAGTATCCCGCCAGAGAGGATGCCAGTGGATCCCGCCCAGTATCCCGCCAGAGAGGATGCCAGTGGATCCCGCCCAGTATCCCGCCAGAGAGGATGCCAGTGGATCCCGCCCAGTATCCCGCCAGAGAGGATGCCAGTGGATCCCGCCCAGTATCCCGCCAGAGAGGATGCCAGTGGATCCCGCCCAGTATCCCGCCAGAGAGGATGCCAGTGGATCCCGCCCAGTATCCCGCCAGAGAGGATGCCAGTGGATCCCGCCCAGTATCCCGCCAGAGCAGTATCCCGCCAGAGAGGATGCCAGTGGATCCCGCCCAGTATCCCGCCAGAGAGGATGCCAGTGGATCCCGCCCAGTATTTCGCCAGAGAGGATGCCCGGTACTCTTTTGAGGGTTGGTGTAAAGGGAACAGGAAGAGCACCCCTTTTTGGTGCCCTCCAAAAATAAACAAACCCATTTATATATATATATATGTACGGACCTGGAGTTCACACCTGGAATGTGTTGTGTGTGTCTTTTTAATAAACCAACTGTTGGTTTTTCAGGGAACCTACCACTGGACATATTTCTCTCATTTTTCCAGGAGACGCGTTCGAAGATATTGCCTAGGGAGGTCACCTTTTGCAGCTGCTGCAGCGGGTAAACTCCCTCACCCTATAGCTAGCACACGTTCTTTAAGGGTATCCTTTGATGAAGGTTTTGTGGCCCAAAAACAAATATTCTAACTGAGGTCCCCGTGGTGTTCATGTATATTTTGGGCTCAGTACCCTTTTGGCAGGGGGTAAGGAAGACCACCCCTTTTTATGCATTGTACTTGGAGGGCTTCGTGCTGCGTGTGAACCCGGGATTGAGGAAACCCACCAACATTGGAATTTGGATATGACGTGTTGGCTTCAAGAGGCAAGGGCTCCTTTCTCATTGTGAATTGCAATGAGGGAGTCCGTGCATTTTGCTGGGGAGGCTTTCAGTTGGACGTTCCCTAGAGATTTGCAGCGTTCCGGGCTTGAGAGAGGGCAACCCCTGTGCCCCTTGTGAGAGAGAGGGCATCCCCTTTTGCGGATTCGTGAGCTCGGTGGAATGAGAAGCCTCAGACTGCCCAATCGGCGGCGAGACAACACCTGCAGCTTGCAGAGGGCGCACTCCTTTCTGGACCCGGAAAGCGCCATGAGAAGGGCGGGATCAACGTGGGCGTTGTGGTCTTTGACCTCAATTTCCCTGCGTTGCACCAGACAGAGGGAGAAGCTTCAGAGAGCGGATTCGACTCCTTTCCATGCCGGAGTCGGACTTACTGACAGTGTGGTTCACAGGATCAAGGACATCACGGCGGAGATCCCAATCGAATTCTTCGGCTTGCTTGTGCCTTTTGTGGATTGTAGGTGGCTGCATCCCTGTTTAGGGTTGGAAACTTTTGGCCTCTGTTTAGGGTTGGGGTTGAAACTTATAGGGGGGGTTGGTTGGGGTTGGAAAAACAAATACCGAGCCCCCCACCTCTCTCTGATGAAGACTGGCTCAAAAACCAGCCGTTTCGGATGATTTGGCCTCAAAAAGCAAACAGACACGTTTGAGAAAATCCGGCCCAGAAATAACCCAGAAAGAGCCCAACAACCATTGCTTTTGGAATGTTTGCTTCCAAAGAGACCAAAAACAGCAGTGTTTGAGAAGTTTACGGGGGGGACTCACGACTACGAATGAGCTTGAGAACCTTGTGCTATGCAGGGTGCGGCCAGGTCGTACGAGCTCGTGGTGGCCACGTCGGTCTTGCCACAACGCTGGCGCGAGCATATTGCTCACGATGTTATCGTTTTTTTCGGCTCAGAAAGAAAGAGGCATTGGGTCAAGAGAAGCCAGCGGCAATCCAATGCTCAACAGATTTGTTTGCCTCCAAGAAAGTCGAAGCACAATTGTTTCAGTTAACAGCTAAGAAGCCAGGAACCAGCAAGAGCTGGTGGCAAGCACTGGCCAAACCAAAAAAAAACACCGCACCTGGTAACCCAAATTGAAGGTAGCTGGCAGCCCCGATGTGGGTAAAGGGCATGACTGAACCAAAAGGGAGGAATTGCACAATCTACCTTCACCCAATTGGTGTTTAAGTTGGTGTTTATAAATGGTACAACAAAAAGGGCCTTCAACCCAACTGTATGTGTTTGTTGTCCAAGGCAAACTATGCTAAGGTAAAGAATGCAGTTCGGCCAACCGCAGAATCAGCAACAAATGCTTGAGCATGCTTCTGGCAGCATGGCTCCTCTGCCGCTGCCCATCACAAATGCGGCAGGCCACATGCCATGCCAGGTCGTGCCATGCCAGAAGCTTGATTCTGACACAAGTTCCTATACCCCCATCTTCACCCAACCCCAGGAATGTGCCCGAATTGGGTTGGTTTTACTGTGGTAAACTTGCCTTGAAAGACACCAACTTAAGTTCTCCAGGGCATTCTCCTTGCGGAGTCTTGAAGTGCTGTAGCAAGCAGTCAGCAGTTGTGGATGTGCTTTGCACAGTGAGGCATCAAATTCAGAGGCGTCCAATTGCACTTGCTGTTTGGCGGGACATTAAGCAAAACCAGAAGATCACATTGCGGAGCCGAAGCACGAGCAAACATGGGCACGAACAGTACAAAGGCACACTGGCAGATTGGAAAGCGCTCTTTCTCAGTAGGCTTCGTACTGCACTTTGTGAGCCAATCCTCGCCGAAGGCAGTCAGCAGACCTGCGCTCCTGGCCTGAGCCGCGCTCTTTGGGAGCAGGCCTGGTGCCTAGGGCGTTCTCCAGGGCATTCTCCTTGCGCAGTCTTGAAGTGCTGTAGCAAGCAGTCAGCAGTTGTGGATGTGCTTTGCACAGTGAGGCATCAAATTCAGAGGCGCTCAATTGCACTTGCTGTTTGGCGGGACATTAAGCAAAACCAGAAGATCATATTGCGGAGCCGAAGCACGAGCATTCATGGGCACGAGCAGCACAAAGGCACACTGGCAGATTGGAAAGCGCTCTTTCTCGATAGGTTTTGCACTGCACTTTGTGAGCCAATCCTCGCCGAAGGCAGTCAGCAGACCTGCGCTCCTGGCCTGAGCCGCGCTCTTTGGCTGAGCGGCATGTTGCTGGGAGCAGGCCTGGTGCCTAGGGCGTTCTCCAGGGCATTCTCCTTGCGGAGTCTTGAAGTGCTGTAGCAAGCAGTCAGCAGTTGTGGATGTGCTTTGCATAGTCTAGCTTTGCAGCTTTGCGTTTGTGCTTGGACCAGGGGCCGCGGCAAGCTCAAGCTTTGAATAGGCAGTGCAGAAGTGTGTTGCCTTCGGCGTA